AATTTCGGCTCACCTTGATTGGACGGCAATCTCCCCCGGGGGAATCGGCGGATTCCAGCCGGGTTCAATCGAGTTCAATCCGCATCATTTTCGACTTGACAAGCATATATCTCCCCACTCACAGCAGCAGGTTGCATTCGCTGCCATTTCGCATCGGCGCCACATGGAAACGGCAAATTTTGCGCCACATAAAACAACTGCTAGAAGAAAAGCCAGGAAAAACGCGGATAAACCAAATCGAAAAACACATAAAAACAAAAAGCAGAAAACGAAAACAAACAAGAGGCTGCCACTTCCAGGCGGGGAGCATACAATATATTTTATTCGCCTTTTTTTTGCCTGTCCAACTAATTGCTATTAATAAAAAGAAATAGCTTCCAGCGCAAATGCAGCAGGTGAGACGCTATTAGGCGGCATTTTGCCATCTCGGCAGCTTGGCAACATGGCAACCTGGCATCTTGGCATCTCGGCATCTTGTGTGGCCCGGTGGATGGAAAGCTCTCCGGAAAGCCGATCGGAATGGCCAAAGTCAAAGGCAAAGCCAGAGCCAGAGCCAAATACCCGTACACAATGGGCCCTTACAATGCATACTCTTGTTAGCCCAGATGTGGAAAGTCAGCCCAATCCAGTCGCAGTCCCATTGTCTGGCTAAAAAAAAAAAACAAAAAGAGAGGAAAGCTGGTTAGCCAAATGGGAGCTCATCTGTGATTATGTTTTTATGGGGCTTCCCACACCTGTTGATCGTAAAAATTCCGCGGGCCAAACTCCGCACGACTCGCCGCTGCAAAACCAATACACAATTTACAGATGCACGTTAATTCAAATTTATTGCATTAACAGCCACTAATTGTTTGAGTTGCCTGCAATTAAACACGCCCGAACACGGACAGCGCAAACCCCTAAAACAATCTCTACGTTTGACGAAGGGTAAATACTCTGACTCAGAAAGTAGATATGCGATTCATATATGAGGATCGAAAAATTAAAATATTTTATCAATTTGCATTTAGCCTCCATTGATTATCGTTAAATTATCCCGTTTTACTACCTTTATATGTGGTGTCAAAAAATTGTTATTAAACCAAAATAAACCTGAATAAATGGACTCAATTAAATTTCCATATTTTTGGGAGCTAATTAAGTCATTAAAGTCAAATTTTAAATTACACTCCTTGCTCCTCTATTTAAAAGAGTTTAACCTTCCTAAATCAATAGCTGTAATTAAAGTCGAACTAATTTGTATTTTGATTATTACCCAATAACTAAACTAATAACTTGCCTTGTATTTACCTACAAATTGAACCAGAAAACAAATGTTTACTTTTCTACTGAACTGAAGTAAACTATCATTACGAAATCGTATATATAGTATAGTAAATCAAAACGTATACCCTGCTCTGAAAGGCGTAATAGCCCCTTAAACCGAGTAATTAGCTAAAAAGTATAAAGTATACATTAAAATCATAAAAACGAATATTAAAGTAGCTACTGCAAACATCTATTACCCAAAAAACTAGATGCAAAAAGAAAGAACAAAGTTCAGCTTGTGTTTGTCTTGGAATTTGGCAAAAATCTTGGGAGAGAACTTTCGGTTCCAGTTGGGTGGCTAAAGTGAGACCCGCATGACAAGTACATTAACCCTAGACAAAAGCAACATTTGCTTTCAGAGTTTGTCAAACTAATTACCCGAGAGCTTCTGTGCTGAGACGAGTTTGTTACGCAATCGCTGAGTAAAATGCCGCCGATATAGACGTCGATAACTGTATCCGTTGGCAGTTACTCAACTCGAGATGAAATAACAATAAAACAATTAATTTTATGGGCATCTCCGAAGTCAAATTGCCTGTCTGCAGGCGTCTCTTTGTTTGACAAAAGCCAAGCAAAACAGTTCGCATGTGCGGCAAATGCATGTGGCAGGCGGCAAGCCATTGCCATTGAAATTTCCATTGCCACTGTCAGTGGCAACATCAACACACAGCGGCAGCAGCAGCAGCAGCAGCAGCAGCAGCACACATGCAACAGCAACACACAAGAGCGGCAAACATAAACTTGGAGATACAGGAAACACACAACAGCCAAGGCAGTAGATAAATTTGAGCAGCAGCAGCAGCAGCAGCAGCATCGGCTTGAAAACGTGCGACTCGAGTTGCTGCTGTGGAGCAACATTGGTAGGAGCAACAGCAGCAACATCAGCAGCAGCAGCAACATCAGCAACAGCTGGCTAACCACTTGAAGCACTTTCGTTTTCATCTGATCGCCAGTCGGGTGGAAAGCGCCCGTTGCCACCGCCACTCGTTGTTGGTTGGTTGGTAATGTAATGCGCGCATCTTTAAGATATGCGGCATTGTTGTTGCTTCCACACAGATATTGCTGTTGCTAGTGGCATGCAAATAGCGACCGATATCGATCAGCTGCGTGGCAGTGAAGTTGTCCGGCCAACACAACCATTTGTCTAATTGTCGAGTTTCTCGAACTCTGGCAGAGCATCCATGCTGCTGCCGCTATGATGCAATTGCCATTGAATAACAACTGAATAATGGCAACTGCAACTGCAACTGAAGCAGCAGCAGAGAAATTGCAGCAACTGCACTCGGCGGCACTCATTCAAGGTCCCGAACTTCGATTTCTCCCGACTCTCGACTCGACTCTCCCGTCGATCTACGTGCCCAGTTTGTCTGGCCTGACCAATTGGTTCGTTGTTCGGTTGTTTGGTTGTTCGGTTGTTCGTCTTGACCCGCAATGCTTCCGTCGATTGTCATCGCATCGGAGCTGCAAGGCATGCGTAAAACTTATTTTTATTTCTCTTCTGGCTGCTTTACGATTTCAATTAAATGCCAAAGCACACAGCCATTATTGTTATTATTTTCGCAACGCCGTGGCGGGAAAGTTCCCACCAGCTTTTCTTCAAATTGTCTTCGATTGGGCAAGCGATTTTCGGGTTTCGGTTTACGGATTTCGGTTTTTGGTTTTTTCGGATTTCAAGTTTCTGATTTTGATTATCCGGTGGTGCGAGTACCGCAGCAGCTTCGTCAGTCATCGTCAAAAGGCGCCTCTTAATTGAACAACAACGGAAAATGCCGAAGAAATGCCAACGCCCACCACAACAAATTGACAGGCAGCGTCTTTGGCTTAAATGATCAATCGGCTGCACAAACAAAACTTCCCAGCCGCTGTTCAAGTTGTTTGTGTTGTTTGTGTTGCTGGTGTTGCATTAACAACTTCCCCGTTGGCTTTGCTGTGGTGTAGCAGGAGCAACAGCAACAACAACAGTAATAGCAACAGCAATAGCAACAAGCAACATGACTTATGAGTTTGTGCATCAACACGGAATTCGAGTAGTTGTAGTTGCTGTTGCAGATGTTGTTGCTGTTGCTGCTGATGTTGCTGCTGCTGCTGCTGCTGCTTGGTCGCGTAATGAAAACGAAAGTAACCCGCACTCACATACAGAGATACACTCACTTAGCCACCGGTTCGGGCAGCCACACGCCACATCATTCACTCTCAACTGGGGGCAGGCCGGAATTATGCGCATATATTTAAAACTAATCGCAATTAAACTAATCACTTGACATCTTACATTGAAACAGGCGTTGAATAGCTGCCCGCTAATTACTCACTTAAATGGCACACATAACCATAGCGCGAAGTAGGGAAAAAATGCACTCCAAATGCCGCAATGACACAAAGTGGCATTCAACCGGCAATTAATGGGTAGCACAACATATCGAATAGATCGAATAGATCGAGGTACCTATATGTAACATTTACGAGACGATCCAATGCTGTACGACGACCTGTGCAGCCTTTCGCATTTAAATGCGATTAGATAATTGGTGGAATCATTCGAGCACGAATCCGAGATCAAACGACTTGCTCTCTTATCCAACCATATCGTTTACCGACATTACGGCCCATTCTAATGTCAAAATCGAACCCGAAGTCATCAATAGTTTCGCCACAACAGAAAAGCCTTACGAGCATGCTAAAATGAAAATAGAAAATGAAAATAAATAAATAATTATGGTAATGACCCACTTGTATGACTTAATTTAGCAATTACTACAGTTTAACATTTACTTGGCAGATACAATGCCCTGCTCGCATGCAATCAGCACTTTAAGCTCTCGACTTGTTTTTGATACGGGGCTAGTTTGTTTTCCATTCAAGGGATCGCAATCAAAAACATTGCTAGATAATTGTGGGAAGTTAACAAAGTCGTAAAAAGTGCTAATTGCTGCAAAATTCTAGTTTAATAGTTGATCACGTGTTTATACGACTAACTTACTATATATTTTATAACCTATATTTTATAACTAATCAATCAACTTCTTCTATAACTTTATTTCAAGAACCCTCTAACTAAGGTTGATTTTAAATCACTATCAATCACTAAATTATTAATCTATTATCTATTAATCACTAAAAGTAGAACATTTTAAGCTCAATGCTGCGCCATTGAATAAGTAAAAAGTTAAGTTTAAGCAGGAAATAAATATGAAAACAAAGTAATACTTATGCATTCATCACCAACAAACAAACCAATGTTGATTATGCAAATAAACTTGAAATTATGAAATCATCTAAAGGCATTCAGGGCCCAACCAAACATTAGGCTGCATTTAATGCCCAAAGTGAACCGAAGTAATCATTATTTGCTGCCTAATTTATTCGCTGGTAATGCCGCTTTCCACGGTAAATGATTTCCGTGGGTTGAGCCGGGCCAACTTACCCTTTTCTTGTGTTTTCCCAACCATTCCGCCATCTCGGCTGGCCATCATCTATGTGGCTTTTGATTGCCCCCCGAGCGTCCCGCTGTCTTTTCACTTTCGTTGGGGCTTTGTTGTTGTTGTTGTTGTTGTTGCTGATGCTGAAACTGATGGTGATGCTGATGCGGGGGCATGCCACACCGCAGTCGACGGCGACGGCTCTGCTTCGCCGCTCTGCCATCGAAACGGTAAATGTTTGCTGGCAAACCCGAGCAGAGCACAGTTGCATTTTGGCGCTCGTCCCCAGCGATTCGCACTCGCACCTGGCGCCAAGCGAACAGCCAGCAACCAGCCAGCCACCAAATCCGAATCCAAAAAGCCTCCAATCAAAAGCCGTCAAAACACCAAACTCCGCTGGTCGCGCATGCGCACGCGCGCTAAAAACGCTAAATGCTAAACGAAATCGAAAACCGAAAACTGAAAACTGAAAATCAAAAAACTAAAAACCGAAAAGTAGCAGTCAAAAGTGACCGTTATTAAAAGTTGAGCCCCGCAGGCAAACCCAGCCAGCATCTTGGGCCGTTATATAATCGAGAGTGGAAACTGGAGATCCGGACTTCTGGCCAAGTTAAGCAAAAAAACTCCAGCTTCTGCGCACAATATTCGCCATGTCGTCGCCGCCCAGCCAGCGAACTAATTAATGCGCGGCGGTGGAAAGAAAAGCAAAGCGGAGCTGGGAGACCTCGTAAATTATAATACTTAAGACTTAAGGCCGGAAAAAAGTGCTCGACTGGAGAGACGCGAACCGCCTTCGTTCCCAGTGACTCCCAATACCCGAAACAGTCCCCGGAATACAAAAAAATAAAAAGGCAGAGGGAAAAACCCTCGACCGCCCATTTGACTGGCAGCGTGAAAGTGAAAAGCATCTGGTCATCGGCAGCAGGACAAAGCTTAAGACTCGGATAAAGATATTGCAGCAGCTAAAGATACAGCTACAGCTTTAGCTACAGATACAGATACACTATTTGGAGATACGGACTCTGTGGGTCAGTCATGCGCGCGATGAGCGGCTGAGCTGCGCCAGCTGCCCGAGGAGCGGCCACCAAGATGATGAAGCCATCACAGTCGGCGCCGCCGTCACCCAAACACTCGCGGTCACACTCGCAGTGCCACCGGCAGGCACCGGTGGCGAGTAGCGCGACCTTGAGCTGGCTGTGCCTCCTGCTCCTGCTGCCGTCTTCCAGGCAATTCGAGACGGGTACGTTAAAAACAACGGAAAGAAACGGGGACTGCATAGTAAACAAGTTTAAAGTTTAACAGAGAATAACTACAAAAGAAAGTCAGATGTTAATTGCATATAACAACAAATTTAATAATTTTTAATTGCTCTGCGTAATAGGGAAATAAACAGAGAGTTAATAAACAATTTCTAATACGTAACTGCAAAGAATTTATATGACTGACGTATGAAAGTATTACTAATACTTATATCATTTCCTAAATAAATACCGATAATTTTATAATCAGGACTTCAAAAAAAAGTCGCATAAAATTACTTTTCTTTTTAGTTAGTATTTTTTGAATGACTAAGCTATCTATAGAAAATCCTATCAACTTAAATCGTTATGATGCTTTTGCTTGAAATAAGTAAACAAACTCGTATACAAATTAATAGTAATAATAGCCAAGATTGATCGATAGGCTTCTCAACACCTCAAACTTAAATTATTTCTATGAGAGGTGATGAAACCATTAATCAAGATTTATTGGCTATAAAGTAACTCAAACAGAAAATTGAAATTAGTTAAGTCAAATTGATTTCAAGTATGTAATTTAAAACTATAAAAATAGCATTTTAATAAAATAAGTAAAATATGTGTTGTAAAGAGTATCCTTATACTTATTCAAAGGATAAATGTTACCCAGATATAAGTTTTCAATCTGCATAAACTACCTTTTTGTTGTAGACTGTGGCTGTCGACCAGCGCGTAGAGGACCGCGGATAATTGCCGGAGCTGCCACGAACGAAGGCCAGTTCCCGTGGCAGGCTTCCCTGGAGCTGTTGCATCCATCGCTCGGATTCCTGGGCCATTGGTGCGGGGCGGTGCTCATCCACCAGTACTGGATACTCTCCGCCGCCCACTGTGTTCACAAGTAAGTGTCGAGGTAATATTCCCGTAAAACCAGGATTATAATATGTTAATAATCTCGCCCAGCGATCTCTTTAACCTGCCCATTCCACCTTTGTGGACGGTGGTGCTCGGGGAACACGATCGTGATGTGGAATCGGGCAACGAGCAGCGGATTCCCGTCGAGAAGATCGTGATGCACCACCGCTACCACAACTTCCGACACGACGTGGTCCTCATGAAGCTCTCGAAGCCAGCGGATCTCGAAAGGGCCTCCAACATCCGTCGGATTTGCCTGCCCTTCCTGCTGGCCGAATCGCAGGATAACCTCTCGGAGGCTCCAGCTTCGTCGCCCGACGAGGATGTGCTCATCCAGCAACTTGATCTCGAGGACGTGCCCGAGAAGATCGACAACTTCCTGCGGAGCGTCCAGGGGCGCAGACGCTATCGCAATGTCACGGCTCCCAGCATGAAGGAGCTGATGAACATGAAGATCCTCAGCAGGATGCGTCAGGCGCTGGCGCAACGCTCCCCGCGCAGCTTGAAACGCTCGCGGAGACGCAACGACAAGCTCATGAAGCTGGGTCCGCGGCGGGATGAGGGCGAGTCCGCCGAGCAGAAGCACCTCAAGGTCAGCGAGGAGCCCAAGGAGATGGCCTTCGTGGACTGCGTGGCCACCGGCTGGGGCAAGGCCAACATCAGCGGCGATCTCTCCAATCAGCTGCTGAAAACTCAGGTGCCACTGCACCAAAATGGAAGGTGAGTGTCCTACGGGGAATTTTAAATGCAAAATATAATGAATTGAAGTCCTGCAGGAACCAGTTTTAAATTAGTATTTTCGTAATTTCAATAGCACATGATTATCATTATCTATTCTTGGAAAAATGGTTACTTCTGTGCATTTTTATTATAATAAAATTTTCCTTATTTATAAAAAATGCAGAATAGAAAGAAAAGTACATAGTTTAATTTCAAAATAAAAATATCTTAGATGAGAATATTGTCTACGAATCAAATTTAAATGTGTTCATGTGTATTCAGCTAAAGTAATTAGCGAGTTAATTACTTTTCAAGTTTTTTAGACTTTTGAAGACTTATAGAAACATATTTCCTTTTTTTCCAATGCCATTTAACAAATGGATAAAACATTTGCTGACATTTGCTGCCAGAGGAAAATGTAGGATTTTTTAAAATATAAAAATATATTTGCTATATTAGTTGATTCAGTACCATGATGACGGATGTGTGTATTTGATCTTACCTTTTGCAGGTGCAAGGACGCCTACGGCAGCTTCGTGAACATCCACGGCGGCCACCTGTGCGCCGGGAAGCTGAACGGCGAGGGCGGCACCTGCGTGGGCGACTCCGGCGGACCGCTGCAGTGCCGCCTGAGCCGCGACGGCCCCTGGATCCTGGTGGGCGTGACCTCGTTCGGATCGGGATGCGCCCTGGAAGGATTCCCGGACGTGTACACCCGCACCTCGTACTACATGAAGTGGATCGAGGACACGATCGCCGCCCACTGATTACAACACTGATTACATAGCTATCGACCTGTATTTATCGAGTGCAAGCTCATCTGTACATTGCTTACTGTTACCACACTCTAGAGTCTAGACTTTAGCTTTAGCCCTAGCTTATCGTTATCGTTAACTAGTTCGTAGGCAAGGACGTTCCCTAAGTTGTTTCCGACGAGCACAATAATTTATACCGAATCTTAAGCCTAAATATCACAGTGTTGCCCCTTCTTGAGTTGAGGTAGCCACTCCACTTTGCTGCCGGGTTACGCCTTGGCCAACTTGAAGTTCCCTCCGCCGAAGAGCAGCTGCAGTTGCTCCTCCGGATCGAGTTGCAGCGATTGCTTCCGCAGTCCGCTGGCCAAGCTCAACCCAGCTCCGATCACCTGGACAGCCGCTCCGCGCTCCACCTGATCCACCTTCTGGAACTGCTTGGCCGTCGGCCAGAAGCAGAGCATCAGGGCGCTGCACAGCTGGTAGATCCCGGCCAGCAGCATTCCCACGGCGGCGCTCCACTGCAGCAGGGGGAAGCCCCACTTGATGCCGTGAATGAGCATGCGGAGGCTCCAGCACAAGACGTCGATGTTGAGGTCAACCCAGAGCAGGGGAAGGATCATGTTCTCGAAGGGATCCATCAACCGGTTGAAGTTCACCTTGCCCACCACCTGGTTGGCCTGCAGACGCAAGTGGGTGCCCTGCATCGGAGCTCCCAGTTGCTGAAATGAAAAAGGGAGTATTATAAAGGGTACATATATGGTTATAGGTGTTTAACCCACCGGTTGCACCACAAAAGTGGAGGTGAAACGCGACTCATCCGGCTGCAAGCCCTCAAAAGGCTCCAGCAAACTGGGATCGGCGTGCATAAAATGCGGATACGTAATGGCCAAAGGAATGTCTGAGTAAAAACAAGCATAACATTTACTAAATCCGTTTATAGAGAATTTAGGTTACTGAGTACTCACTGTAGTAGCAGGGCGAAACGCTGCCCACACCTTTCTTCAAACAGCGATTGTTTTTGCAGAAGCACGATGAGTTGGCGTTGCCCAAGTCGCTGTCGAAGGCATCGGGCTGCATCATGAACTCGAAGCCATCGGTGCCATTGAAGGTGGTGGCTCTATTGAATTTCAACGGCAATCGACGGCAGAAGGTTCGCCTGTACAGGAAGAACTCGTCGTTCTCGTCCATGTCCAGTGGGAAGAGCGTGGCATCGTGGCTGCCCCAAATGCGATTGCACATGGTGCCACTAAAAATGCAGTAAAGTTGCAAATCTCGAACTTTATGTACTGGGAAGTAGAGTACTTACTTGGTCTTCTCATCGTAGTCCCAGCGTTTGAAGCCACGTTCTCCGTTGATGCTGTTCACGGTGTAGCCACGTGGGGCATCCGGTAACCTCACACCGTAGTTGTCCTTGGGTTCCAGCAGGTTCATGTTGAACACATTGCTCTCGTTACCCTCCCGAAACAGCTGAAAGGATTATACAAATATTGGCAAATTATTAGAAGATTAAAAGTTTATTTAAAACGTCAAAAAAACTTAAAAAAATAAGATGCATTTTACTAAGATGACACATTTTCTGAAATATAAAACATTGTTGCAAATTTCAATTTCTTTATGCATGACAAGTAATTGCCGCATCAAACGCCAATCAACAGGTATTTTATAAATACACTTTCAATCTAGGTTTCAATCAGTCTTAATAAGTGCCCACAAAACAATTACTTAACTATGTCTTTAATTAATTGATATAATCCCAATTTGTAATTTCATGACCATGTGCTTTAAAACCCTCTCTCTACAAATACCCGTGGCTTTAAAAGAATAATCTTATATTTCAATTAAGTAAAACCCCAAGAACCCTCACCTTCTCCATGATGCCGAAGCTGGTAAAGTCAATCCAGCTGGGCACGAACCGCGAGGCGAGCTCCACCAGGCGATCCTCGTAGCCCCACATGTAGTCGTGGACACTCATCTCCAGCATGGGCTGCGAGTTCATCTGCCTGGTCAGGGCACTCAGACCCAAGGCGGCGAACATGGACAGACTGGAGGCCAAGGTGGTGATGCCCATCAGCGGGATGTTGGGTGCCCAAATCCGATCGACCTTGGGGTCGCCCACGGATCGCTCCGGTGCAAAGATGTATTCGCGTCGTGGGGTGTAGGTGATGGTGTTGTTGCCCCCGTTGTAGGTCACGTTGTGGTTGCTCAAGACCTCCTTGTAGACATACGGACCCAGCTCCTGGAGCTTCAGCTTGCTCGCCCTGCCCGAGGTGAACTCCTCCACGTTGGTGTAGTTGAACATGTAGACATTTATGTAGACGTCGAGCGGTGGAAAGAGCCACAGTCGGTGCAACAGGGCTCCGGGCTTCAGGCTTAATTGCTAAATGGGGAAAAATATCACAGTAATTATTAATTATGTCTAATAGCCACAGGTCTAGAAAAGTTTCATTAATTTTCTGTGCTCCAAAAATATATTTTAAGTTTAATTTGCACTCCTTTTCAAAAATGTTCTTTTATGTGTATAAATAGCAATTTTAGTTGAATAAATTTATTTATTCATTTCTCCTTTCAATTGAAATTAATTTCCCGATTCATTTTTCAATCGATTAAAAGCACGAGGGCTCAATTCATTGTCTTGTCAGTAATATGTATCCATTAATTACTCCTAAGTCTCCCGTAAGTACCTTTAATGTTCCCACTGCTCTAGGGCAATTGAATTTAAGTGTAGGTCGATAAATTACACGTTTCGTTTAATCGTGACACCTCATTACTAACTGAAACGACGGCAGTGCAGCCCATATTACTCGCATTTCGCAACCGAATTTCCTGCCATATTTTGCAACCTTAACTAGAGTGACGATCTTACCGCATCCAGGATGCTCTGCAGCGGATCCGCGATGAGGACCAGCGACCCGAAGAACAGCAGGGTCATCCCGAGGGCAGCGCATCGTAGCAGCTCTGCAACGAAATAATGAAATAATAAAATAATAATAAATAAAATAGATCAGCGGGTGAGTTATGAGCGTGCGAGTGGAGTGGAGTCAACTGAAGTTGAACTGGTTTTCCGCGCTTCTAGTTTCTCGATTCGTGGATGCCGTGGCGCCCCATCATGCCATTGACCTTGACGGCGGATTGGAGCGCGTCAAATGGGTTCGGGTTGGCCGAGATCTGCGACCTACCTCAATGGCAGGAGCAGGAACAGCAGCTCCAGGCCAAAATGTAAAGTAGTATAAACAAAACGATGACAACCGGCAGACGACAGACGATGACGATGCCCAAAAACGAATGCGGTTCAATGAACGTTCTTCGATTTTATAATCGAGGCGGGGGAAGTTGATACGTGCACTCCGCAAAAAAAAACCCAAATGAAATATAAAAATATTCCCATAATTCTAGTTAACTGCCCTTGCTCTCAGACATTTTTTCCGGCAATTTAAATATATTGTCTAAATTTAAAAGCCACATTGTTCGTTGATCGACGGAACTAACGAATTCGTACGGCTTCCAACTGGTTTTAGCGAATCGCTAACTTTTTAGCATACCGATAAACAAAAACATTTGTTTAATTTATGGTTGCACCTTAAATATAGGAATACAACTATAAGAACATGTTACTTTTTAAGGCAGGAGAATTTTCTTGGCAGCTGACTTTGTTTGATTTGCTTACACCAATTTGATAAGAATGCCGCTCCTAGAAAAGTCGTAAAAATCCAGTTCCACTGACCTTGTTTGGAATATTAATTAAAACTACGGAAGATGGGCAAGGCAATCGAAGCATATCAATCTAGACTGCACTTCGACTCATATTTACTCGAAGTGAAATCACTCACTTTACGACCGAAACTCGTTTGTTCTCTCACCTTCGCGAAGATTATTGTCTTTGCCTTTGCCCCAGTGGTATTCCACTTCCGCACTCGAAATCTGGCCGGAAATCGGTGGAAGAAGTCTGACTCTGTGTCGAAGTCGACGTCTGATAATCCAGAGCGTGGGCACACCCGATTCTCCTTTGACCGATTTCCAGCGATCACGGCCACTTTGTGAAGATCTCAACTTTTGGGCGCACAATCTCAGCCCATTTAGCGATACAAATCGTTTAGCGAGTTCTCGCAATAAAAACAAAGCCAGCCAAAAAGCCCCGATTGTGTGCCCAGATAGTAGACGTTTCTATGGAGTTAGAAACCGAAAGCGGCAACCAACCGACCGATACACCTGCCAAGATCAATGAACTGACTGGTGGCTTAGGGGCTAGCACGCCCCAAACTCGCTCCAAAATGGCACGATCCGATCCCACAGCATCGGTGACTGAGATCGAGAGCCACAAACAGCATAAACTCATTAACAATTTCGCTTCGGCGTCAACTTTGGTGTCATAAATAGGTTCAAGACTTCACAATCAAAACAAACCGCGATGATACATGACAAATTATGCATGGCGCCGAAGAAACCAGAAATCCAAACACATATTCCATTGATAGGAATTTCGAGTGTGCACAAAAAAAAATATTATTAAGTGTTTGGCATTAGAAATACAAATTTGTACTAAATACAAGTTGCTTATATGTTTGTTTAAATTATTGTGGCGGAATTGATAAACATATTCGTACAATTTTATCTTTTCGAATTCGAATGTTTATCAAGAGTTAATATATTTGGAAATAAAGTCATATGAAATATTCAATACCTCTTAAAACTGTCAACAATGAGTAATCAATTAATACGAAAAAATATCTAATGTTGTTAAATATTGTTTTTCCTAAAAATTCATTGAAAAAGCTTTAAATTGTGCAAACATATTTGAACTACCTTTCCTTCACTTTTTAGGAGTTCTAATGAAAACCATTCATTCTGAGAACTTGTCATAAAGATAGTTTTATATTTATATATATAGAAACAGATAAATATTTTTTTTTCAATAAATGATTGTGATAGTAAAAGTGATAGTATCTCATGGATACAAACCAAATTAAATACTCTGACTCAAATACAAAATAGGAATAGGTTTAAGATTTTTAACTTTTTTAATCAAGAGATTAACCTTTTTCTCCCCGTGTAGCCTTAGATGCTCATGCATATCCTTGCCTTGAGAGTGACAGCCGAAATTCCCGTCCCATTGGGCCCACCCATAAATTAGGCCGCGCACACAAAGCCGCTCAAAATTATTCTGCTGCAATGGAATGACCAATGCCAAAATCGACACGCAAAGTGGCCAAACCACACGAAAATCTCCGTGGAGTGGCAAAAAGTGGAGCTCGCATTGCGCAACAATTGCACCGGCAAAAGGCAAAAGTCCGCTGGCAAATCGCCGATGATGATGATAGAAAGATTGCTGCCTGGCCGAAAAGAAAAAAAAGTAAAAAAATAAAACAAAAAACACACAAGACACGGCATCATGAATGAAAGACGCTTGTCTCGATCGCAGCAGCTGATTCAGTGAGCTGTGAACTTGTTTGCGACAAGACAGCAAGACAGCAGCTCGATTTCAGCCCGGATCGGATATATGCACATATATATATATCAGTTACTAAGTATGAGCTTGACGGCTGACGACTGACAGGCTAACGACGGCTACAAACCTCTGCAGCGGTCTGAAGTTCAAGTTCGGTGCAATTCGCCGGCGCTAGCACTAAAAAAACCAAAAAAAAACCTGAAAATTAACCCGCGACTCCAAGTGCACGGTGCGCAGAAACAAAAAAAAAAAACAAAACGAAATAAATATATATGGTTTTGACCAGTCAAAAAGCGTCACCAACAGTGCTGACCCACTGAAGTCAAGAATGAATTTGTTTTGTTTCTGACGGAACACCTTCGCCGGCTGGCAGGTGTGTGTATTTGAGTGTGTTTGTGTGTGTGTGACTTCCGTCAAACGACAATAAATTAGGCAAATAGCCGTAACTAAAGCTGAGATTCCGAGATTCGTGCTTGGGTATTCCACAAGATACAGATACTCTCGCCGCGCTTTTAGCAAGTGCCGATCTAACAGGCTAATACACTCGTCGTTTGCTCGTCGCATTCGTGACGATATTTGTTTGTCGCCAGCCTGTTTGTTTGGCTAGTGATTAATCGCAGCAGATCCGTTGCTGTTTGCTTTTAATCATCGACATAACCAAAAAGCGAAAAGCGATACCGAAAAAACCCAAAACCCTTAAATAGTCGCAGTCAAAGTCTCGGGGCAATTAGACGCCCGCCAATAAGGAAAAGTAAATATGTAGCGCGCCAAGTTTACAACTTCCCCGATTCGCCGCAGGCTGATGCCGATACACAAAATCCGATTTGCTCGCCTTCGAAACGGATACTTTACACGATCATATTGTTATTGCTAATGCCCGGACAATAGCGGCTATTTGCATTGTTTAGCGGGCATTGAGCTGTTGATCGTATTGATTTATGGCGCACTGCCTCAAATTAGTTGGCTAGATCGCTCGGTTCTCGGCCAACTCCGCAAGTCATCCCAGCCATTCAGGCGATCTGTCAACCGAAGATATATATTTTTCTGACCCAACCCCAACCCAAACCCAAACTCAAGTCGACCCGAACTGGGCAATCATCGCGTTCACCTTCAGTTTTCCCAGCGCATTTATGCTGATTGAAATCATCGAACTTCATGGTAAGGTAATACGTGACATTTTCAGTCACAACCGATTTCATTTGAGATCTTAATTTATGCAAACTTAATTGCACTACTACGGTCCGGATCCGTTAATTCACACTCACACGTAACGAATGCTTCCGAAGACTTTGCTCCGTGAATGACTTGGCCAAAACAATCTGAGATCGGAGATTTAAGATCCGAGATCTACATACTCGTATGTAAAGCCACCAGCTGCTTACAATTAATCCGAGTGACCCTACACAAGTGACCTACAAAGTATAGAACCCTACGCCCTTGATGGCCCATTTGTTGTTATGCAAATCGGCCCAATGTCTTGTCAACATATGTTAACAACTTTGGCCGAGAGACCGAAGATACACAAGATACAACCCTAGAAAGCACTAATTAATTCAGTTCCCCATCGATGTTTTATCTGTGTCTTAAGGTTTTTATTTCGATCTGTTATTGTTAGCTAATAGCAGGCGACGTGCCGCCAAAAAGTCTGCGGACTTAAGAACCGGGCGAATAGGAACTGGTCCGAGTCTACTTTCCAGGTGGATAGCAATAAATTAAAATTCGATTTTACGCGTGCGGCCAGCTGTCGGTAATTTGGTAATTAACATTCTAATTTTCGCCGGGAATGCGAATGAGAAAATGTCGAAACCGTTTTATATCGCTTTGATTAGCATGCACGAGCGTTTAAATATCCATTGCACCATTCCTACCACATTTTCAGTTTAGGCCATTTTGGCAGCGAGCAGTTGGGAGTTTGTGCAAGCGATCTTTGTTGACATTTTTACGATCTACGATCGCGTGGGGGCATTTGCTCCCTTGCCTGTAAAACCACGGCTCGAATCCACTTTTATGGGCCTTTGGCTTTGACCAATGCGGACAATGGTGAGCATGGCTTAATTAAGTGCTGGCCACTTTGGCCACTTTTTTTTTTTGGGGCCTGGCATACTCACTTGCATTGCGCTGGTTTTTGTTGGTAAACAGTTTCATTTCGGCACCTCAAAATTTTTTGGCTCCGGCGCGATCTGATTTTCCGTTTTCCGATCCTAGTATTTTTTTTTCTGGTTTTTTTGAACGGGCTTCACTTGATTGAACGACTGGCAAAACGGCTGGTTAGTTATTTATTGATTTATTACGAAAATCAATTTATTCTTGTGTTATTATTTATGACCGCAAATTAAACTATTAACAGGTCGCTGGCGTTATAGATTGTGATTGAAATTCCGATTGCTATACGGGGAATTTCATTTGCATGGCACCCGCAGAGGTTTAATTTGTTTTGACTTTGTGTTCATATAATAACCGGGGGTTTTTATTGTTTGTAGGTCGGGTTGGTAATCCTGTGAGTTCCTGGCGACTGTCCCGCTCCGAAGTGATACGACACTAATGCCTGATTCTGGTTCTGATTGCGATTTAGATTTGGATCTAGGTTCTGATTGTGTTCTGATTCTGTTCTGTTCTGGGCTAGAGCCTCGCTGCTTTGTCTCGAATCGAACTGAACTGTCACGCACTTCCTATTCTCACAAATTTTGACAACTTAATGCGGCAATCTCGACTGCAGCTGGGACCTTTATATGGACTCTTGGGCCGATTCCCGATCTCTCGGCCGATCCGAGTGCCGAGTATCTGTCGGAGATCGGATCGGCTGGCAGTTAGCGGCTAACAGCTAGCAACTAGCGGCTAGCACTAGCATCTCAACCTTTCTACAACCGGTCCACATTCAAAGCCTCTGCTCGGTCTCAGCACACAGAGCTCGGCATCTCGGCAGCTCGGCTAAAAGCGCTCACGTTCGCTCCACTCGCTGGCTGGCCAAAACCCAAAAACCCCCCAAACAGCCAGCCAGCCACATTAAGTCACCTTTTTTCGAGGGTCCGGGGCTATGAACCCCCTTTGGGCTGGCTGGCACCCAACCCTCCGGAACTCCGACACACCGAAACCCCGAGGGTTAGAACCATTGTCTCGCGGATCGCTTGGCTGGCAAATAGTTTCCCATAAACTTAATGGCTCAAATGACTCTATTTAATCCAGACTGTAGCTAATCTACGGGTATCTTGGCCACAGCAGACACGCACACGTGCCTGAGCCCTTTTCGCGCCGGCCATAAATATGCATGAAGCTTTGGCCGCAATTAAAAGCCATTACATCCAGTTCTGATTCTTAGCAGCCAATAACGATTAGCTATTAACTTGCTGTGCGGATAATTGGTTCCCTAGATTATTTAGTTCGATACTTATGACAGATCTGTATGATCATATGCCATATTGGCGCGATCACGCTGACTAAGAGCACTTAGCCCGGCTGTATGACCTATTTTGCTCTTTATAGCAAACTATGTTGTAGTTCCCGACCCGACCACTATACTCGTATATCATCTTCACGTGTTCTTCCCTATAGACATTTATCTGAGAAATGCCATTTTGTGTGAGTTTTTATTGCCCGCCATTGTTCCGAGGCTTGGCGGACTATTGCCACGACGTCAACCCAAAACGCTTAGGTGATCTGATCCCGAATAGACAATGAGCCAGCCAGCCAACTCCTAACTGCCATATGGCATGTGTGCCGCAATTTGCCAACGCCAACCGTCGGCTGTTGTTACCTGGCTAATTGTTGTTTGTGTTTATGGCAACGCGGGGCACAATTATGGCACCCGGGGCATCCCAAAGTCCCATTTTCCAAGCGACGCTTTTTATGCTTTCTCCGAAAGTTCCACGGGGTTCTAGGTTCTGACCGTTCTAAAAGCATTTCACTGGAAAGCAAAGAGTCCTGGCTACACTCAAAAGTTCCTTTTCCAATAGGATACTATTCAAAGAAGCTAAAAAAAACCGCGAAAACCTATTTTAAAGTATTAACATCTAAGCGCGCCATTCTCATTAATTTAAAATGGATAGGCCATAAATATATTATATAAAGAAAACCAGTTCCTTGTTTAGGTCCGTGAACGCACGTAGGCCACAAAAGAAACCTTTTTTCTAACAGGCAATGTTTATAAGAATTTTCGTTAAGGCCTATAAAGATTTTATCAGCTACACGTTTTGTAAAGCGTGTGGATGTATAAAAATAGAATCTTGTATCGATTTATTAAAAAAATAAAATATTTAAATTGCCATGAGAACAAATTAGTAGAACACATGGCAACAAAGAGCAACCTGATTTTAAGAAATTCTCAATATTAGCATTTTGGCTTCACTTTTGTAAACACCACGTTGAATAGCTTGGTTATCCGGCAACATAAATAGAACTTGGGTTAGGTTAGTCAACAGGAGTATCTATATAAATATGATTATATTATAGTAATAAAGCGGATATCACGAACGATTGCTCTAATTATTTGTAGTATCACAAAGGGAAATCCCCACACATGATCAAAACAAATTAAAAATAGGGAAAACATATCTATTTGCTGTTCCTAAGAATTATCTATGACGTTCAACAAGTGACCCTTCAAATACTTCACCACGCTTCTATGCCCAATTGAGAATTCACGTGGAATACCACGGATCTGACTAACCCTTTTGATATTGATCAATATTTGCCAGATTTAGAAAACCAAACAACAACACACACGTACAGATGCAAACTTTGTTATTAAGCTGCGAAATTTTTAGGTACAATTATCATTTGTCCGCCAATGAACTTATTGTCTGGCGACGTCTTAATGGAAAGTGCCCAAAATGTGACAATTCTGAAGTTGAGGAAAGCCCCAGTATTTTGGGCACAAAATACATATATGTGTCTCAAAAAACTAGTCAGTGAACAAGCAAAATGTGTTTACTTATTTCCCCTCTCGAAACTATTTCGCATACATTAAACGCTCAATTATCCCAAGTAGTTTTTAACGAGCTGGAAGGGGCAGCGTATTGTCGAATCGAAATTATTAGCATCTACGCAAATAACGCGTCAGGGTTCTCAAAACTGTTCTCCCAAAATTGGGGGCTGGCATGCAAAAATATATACCAAAGCCGACACGAAAGGTTGCTGGGAAAAAGAGGAAAAAGCCCGGATGGAAGTCCGGAAAAAAACTCAGAGTGCAACTTCAAAATTACAACTGTATAAAACAAGGCACTTTGTAGTAATTGCAGCGCCGCATCAACCCAAAGTATTGTCCCAGCCACGATGACGTTGGCAATTTAGCACATGGAAGGTGACAAAAGCCCTGCAAAGTCAGTCGCAGCCAGCAGAACAATGGAGTGCATATACCAGGTGCTGGGAAAAACCGAAAGGCAGCCAGAGTTGACCAGGTCGAGTAGGTTGAATTGCGGAACAACCGATTGCAGATATCCTTGAGCCAATTGAGGGGTTTCCCCTACTTGCAACTATTTCGTTATTAGTAGGAAACCCTTAAAGTGGTAATAAAAATTTCATAAATGTCAGCTAAGGTGGGGCCCCTACACAAAATAAATAATATATACTCTTGCTTAGTATAAATATAAATATTTTAACTAGATAATTGTTCCCAGTTAAATGACTCTTAAGCTGCGTCTAAAAATAGCTCATACGACCCGTTTGCTAGGTCAACTGTTGCTGTCAACGTTAATTGCTCTTATTAGAATTTGACATGAAAATCTCTTAGCACATAACAGTAGACTTTGTTAAATTTGCAGTCGTTTTTTTAAATATCTCAATATAAGGCAGTGCCGTAAATAATTTTAATCTTCACCAAAATCTTATTTGTAGAACAAAATAAAAATAAATTTGTTGCTATGAGGATGGCGACCTTTTAGATTTTGATCAAATATGAGGTTTATTGCCGCCTCGAGGTCAGAAAAGCGAGTAGAAGTGTAAGTGAGGTGCGTTTAAGGCGTATTTTTGGAAACAATGTACGTTTATTTTGAACCCCATTAAATTGTTTACAACGTTCTTTGATAAGCTGTTCAATAAATAATGGAAACGAGTATTTATAATCAGTTAGGCATATTTCGTTACAAAGATCATCTTTAAACAGAACTTAGGGCTGGGTTAATAAGCACAATTTATGATAATTTTCATATTTTCCCAACGGAGCAGCAGTAATAAAAGTGGGGGAAAGTTTAGGGGACTTCGAACGGCGGTCGTCCGATTAGCGGATGCTGTAATGAATGTCGATCGCAAGGTAAGCATACAGGGAGTGCTTACCAGTAGTTACCGCATGTAATCGCCTATCTTAGCCCCAATTATTGGCAAAGGCAAGTGCTCTATATTAATGGAACTGGAACTGGAGCTAAACTCTCGACTCGAACTATGAGGAACCAACAATGTTGGGTGGCAATTAGATTTAAATATGAAACGCTACCGCACCTCGCAAATGAATATCTAACGAGTTTAATTGGAGCGATAATCACAACAACAACAAAAAACAGTAGAGAACAGAAAGCAGAGACAAAAGCTAAAGCCCGGTAAATAAGTAATAGTCTAAGCACTAATTAGATAGAACGCTTATAACAAATATTGAGTTAATTACCATTCAGAAGAACTCGCTCTGTGATGTCACGTTGTTGTGGTACAAGCGCACAAGGGAAAGCATATTACGTATACGCACTGCGGTCCGGCGACCGGCAAGCTGATTACAGCACTGCCAATGCAGTAGTGCGGCCATTGGATCAGATCGCTATTGAAATTACTTAACGGTCTGACCCCAAATTAAACAGCAATGGGAAGTCGGGCAGAGCAGTTAATACCTCATCGGGTCGCGTATCGCAATCAGCGTCGCCCGTCTAAGCCAACAGTTATTAAACAATAATCAAAATACTATAATTAATGATACTTCGCCGCAGTTCTGACGCCAGCGAAGGCGGAAGGAGGAGTGCACATAAATCAGTGGAACCGATTTCCATTTCAGGTGGGGCTTCCAACAGCCAAAGCAGCAACAGTGGCAGCAGCAGCAGCAGGCACTAATCCTGCTTATCGAAAATTTGTCATTTATTCAGTTATGCGTAATGCTGCTCCTGATAGCCACGCTTTCAGATATCTCGTTAGCCAACTGTCACTATTTGTTAGCGGACGCCAATCTCCGTTTGAATTTCCACGCCGCCCACTGGGTGGGTTCCCACTCCCACTCAAACTCCCACTTTCGGGGGAGCAGCTCTTCCGTTCCAGCTGCTGCAAAACTTCAAACACGACAGCAGCCACATAATTAGACTGCATGTGAAAACATTTTAGAGGTTTCCCGCCCGGTGTTCGTTTCGAATCGTTTTCCCAACTTCCGTTCGCGACTGCTCGGGAATCTGAATGGGGCATCGAATGGAAATGGGACGGGGATTGGGAATGGGTAGTGTGGTGATAAGCCGGGCACATCCTTCAGCCAGCGACTCCTATAAATACCTGTTGCCAATGGCTCTTGGCCAACATTTATTCACGGTCGCGTCCGCTGATTACACAGTACGCCGAAAACAATCGCATTGTGATATCGTTTGCGTGCCCAAATACTCAGTTTCCCACTTGAACCAGGTAAGATTCTACAAACGGAACACGCTTTCCCGCCAATGCACCTTAAATTAAAAGCCAATTACAATAATTATTTATTGTGTAAAGTACTTCCGACTAAATGTGCGTTCCTAGAACTTTTTAGCGATCTTTGGCCCAGACCGATCGTAAAACAGTGACTCATATAGCTGCATCCTTTGGTTCGGGTCAAGTTGGCCCTAACTAGAAGCTAAGTGGCTTATTAAGCCCGTAGTGGTTGGCTTTATTTGCCATTTGCTCGGTGCAAGTATCGGCAATTTGCGTCAGACCCGCCCAAAAATCATTGAGTGTCCATTGTTGACAGCGGTGAGCTTGTGTTTAGCCGCGATCTAACCAACATCCAATTAGCATACCAGATTGCCCGCTATTAGCTGAGGCCCTCCAGAGGTCCCCAAGTAGACCCCTAAATAGGTCCCCGAGCGGTACGAGATCTAAATTACTCCACATGGGCATTTAATTAACCCACTTTTTTCTACTTAGAAATCGATTATTCTGAGTGGAAAAACACCTAATTGCACATTGTAACTTTCACTTCCTTTACTGGGTGACTTTTTTCTGAATTCGTTACGAAGACATTAAAAACGCTGATCGGTTATACTTTTATTTATACGCATAAATTAAAAAGGTACACAAAGGCGAAAAAATAAAATACAAACAATTAGCGACTGCTAATTTCATGCGACCTTCCCTAACTTTGGCAAATAGCATGATGTTTATATTTTGACTTCTTTAGTTACCAAAAGTGATCATTAAATGGTTTCATTTTAAACATGATTTTAAATAGTTAGCAAAAGAAAAATATTATATTTCTTAAACAAAGTTCGAAAAAAGGTTTTATAACTTTAATAAGTACTTTGAGAATAATTGTTAGGCAAATGCATTACATTTTTCAACAAAAAAGTGTTCAATTTAATAAGAGCTATCAAAAGATTATAATTAAAAGATAACCAGGTAACTTATTGATATAATTTAGGTCTTGAACTGGTTTTTATATGAAAGTTTTCTTATAAAATTACTCTCTGGCAGATCGAATAGAAGTGTTTTTTAGCATTAATTTCAAAATATATTGAATATAAATCTTCAAAAATACTTTGTTTTTGAACCAAAACAAGAGTAACAAATAAAATTAAATGTTATTTCGAAAGAGATACCTTTTGCAATATTAGATTTTAAATGAATATCAAAAAATGCGAAACATTAAAAGTTATGTTTCATACTTAAAATTAATACCCTTAAACATGTTATTCTTCAATATACTCGGTGTCTTTAATAAAATTGGTTTTTCTTGTAACCTTTTTGCAGAAGAATGTGCCAAACAATGCGTTGCATCCTGATCGTCTGCGTGGCCCTCGCTCTTCTTGCCGCAGGCTGCAATGTGGAGGCCTCGAACTCACGACCTCCGCGAAAGAACGATGTCAACACCATGGCCGATGCCTACAAGTTCCTGCAGGATCTGGACACCTACTACGGGGACCGAGCTCGAGTTCGGTTCGGAAAAAGAGGAGGCCTGATGGAGATCCTGAGGAATCGGGAGCTGGAGAACTTCAATCTTGGAAAAAATTCAAACAACGGAGGAGAACTGGTAACCGGAGAAGCATAAGCTCTTGGCGGAAAAATATAGTTTTATCCTGCAGGTCGGCGCTTTGGATGAGGAGGAGGTGTACTAAACCCAATCTAGGCGACCATGGCAACGTCACTAACTCATGATTATAATTATTAGCTTACGCCTTTTTGTTTACATTGTTTTTCGGGGCAATAGTTTAACGTGTTGGGAGAGAAAAAGTAGTTGCAGCTACAGATTTAAGTATTTACTCTAGTCTTGATGTTGGTTGAATAAATGAAGTACCCTAATAATCGTTTTCGTGATTCTATATATTTAAATAAAGATTGCATGATGAAACGCTGCCTTTTTATTGTTATTATGAGACGAATTCTAATTTGTTCAACACATTAATATATATATAGATGTGGGCAGCGCATTTTAGTATTTTTAAAAGTTACGTTAACTGTCGTCCAAAAGTGGGGATCAGAATAATAACGCGAGGGGATCTCACCTGAGATGCCTGTCCCAAGTCCACAAATTTAATTGCCTCCCTTAAGTATACTAAGTCAGAGTATTTTTTAGAATCTAAAATTTGTGTATTTGCTGCCTACTTTTGGTCCATTTTTCTATAAAGAATACTTTTTAGAAACCTTTTAAAATAGCATAAAATCGTATTTACAACTATCAATTTTTCCAATACCCATTTATAATATAAATTTATAATTACTCCTTATATGATATAATTCTTTCGTTAACAAGCTCTGATGAATTTAATAGTTTATTGTACAAAAATAAAAACGGCGCAGTTACAGTGGCAAATAACCCTCCATGCAAGCGGCGACTAAAGAGAAGTTGAATACTAATAAAAGGCTTACATAATCATTAGGATAATCCTTACTTAAAGGCAATATGCAAACCGCCAGCAGAAACAGTTCGCAATGGTCGTGGATGGTGAAGCCGATTATTATGGTGCCAACAGCCGCTCCGAAACGAGCCCACATGAGACTTATGCAGAATGCCTTGGCGCGCAAGTAGGTGGGCACAAATCCCAGAAGGCTTCCCCCGATCAGACCAACTATAACCCCTGGAAAAGAGAGGAGAAACACCAGCGAGAAGAGCTGCAACATTGCGTTGGTCACAAAGATCAGCAGGAAACCAAATGTGGAGGATGCCAGCAGGGAGAAGACAAACATCACTTTTCGGGGCACACAGAAGAGCGAAAGCCAGGAGAGGTTGTACAGCACGATATACACAGATCCCAGGATGAAGGAGTCGTTGAAGCCCACGAAGGAGTCGTCGCAGACCTGGCCAACGAGAGGGATTAAATGCAGGATTAAATACTGGATATAGAGAGCTGCTTTACCGGTTCAAAGTCAGCCTCAGGTTCCACAATGGGTCCTGTTTCAGCAACGAAGAGCACTCGGCAGAAGGTCATGCCCTTTTTATTGCCCTGCCGCATGTTGCAACGATTCCGCATGGCAGTGAACCAGATGCCCAGGCCATTTGCCCTGCGGATTCGCGGAGTAAGTAATGGAGGATACCCTTATCAAAGGGAACTCACATCAGTCCCAGGACAAACATCACCAGGCAGACGCACACAAAGGTACCGACGAAGGGCTTCCGAAACAGCGGCATCGCATCGGTGAGCATCTGGCGCAGGAAGCTCTGGTGGCTCTTCCGCCGCTTCACATAAACGTGCTGCTCGTAGGCGCGCATGTGTTCTAACTGCTCGTCGGTCAAGGCGTGTCCTGTATTTTTCCGCGATATCCACTCCATCACAGCCATGCCCCGCTGGCTGTCGCCGATCATGAGCAGAAACTTGGGGCTCTCGGGCAGGAAAAGCAGCAGAACGAAGGCAATCACGCCTGGCAGAATGAAAATAAAGCCCAGTACGCGCCAAGGACGCAGTGTTAGGTCGCCCACAAGCTCCACCTCGAACTCCATGGATCTGGTGGCCAGGAAGAGCGTCGCCCAGGCTGGGCAGTAGACCATGGCGAAGCCGGTGAACATGTACATGTGGGTTATGGTGCGCACCAGGATGCGGTGAGAGCAGAACTCGCTCAGGTAAGTGCCGGCCACGAAGCTAGGACCTGCCACACTAACAGGAGTCACCCATTAAACTCCCTCTTCCATCTTCCGTCCTCCGTCTTCCACCTTTTATCTTTATACTCACAAAATGCACGTTATGTATCGCATGACAAAGAAGCCGGTGAAGTTGACGCTGAACATGGACGCGATGGAACATAGATTGCTTAAAGTAATGGTGCGAATCAGGGTCCAGCGTCGACCCTTCTTATCGGTGATGTAGCCCCAGAAGTAGGAAGAGCATATGATGCCCAGGAAGCCGGCCGCCGTCACCGCCGCCAACTGCGGCTGGTTCATGTGCAGATCGCACACGGAGGCCGGTCCGATGACGCCCATACCCATGGTCTCATGAATGGTGAGCATCTGCAGGAGACCGAGCGTCAGGGTGGCAAAGAGGTGGACCTTCCCAAAACCTGTGGGCAGCGAGCCATGCTTTTAAATTGGCAGTGGGCTAAAGCGCATTTACCAATCTCCTCCATGACCATGTCAAAGTGCTCCATCTCTTGGGGCTGGAAATTTGCAGAACTGACAGTTTGGTTTGGTTGTGTTATCGGTATGTGTCGGTATGTGTGTAACGTTTATTTTGACTAAAATGACAGGGCCTAGACCAGCTGGATGTTCTCCACCTCCTTGATCAGATCCATGTGCTTGAACTCGTCCGGTTTGCGGGTGAAGGTCTCCAGGAGGCTCAGCTTGCCCTCGTCGGGTTTCAGGTAGAACATCTGCAGTTCGTTGGCCAGGCACTGGGCCTCCTGAGCGGTGAGCACCTTGGTATCGTACTCGCCGCGCATCAGGACGACTCCCTTGTCCTCCACCTCGGTGTAGTGCACCAGGGTAAGGCACTCGGGAGCGTTCTCGTGGTGGACCTGGTAGGCCAGCAGCGGGGTAAAGTGCACCGTGTTAGCGGCGAACTGCAGCATAACGAATTCGAAGCCCTCGCTGCGTGGCAGTGGGATCAGGAAGACGGGGTGCTCCTTGGCGCGCGCCATTAGGCTTTCGTACTGGGAGGTGGACAAGGTGGCGGCCAGGACCTCCTTGGTCTTGTGGTACTCCAACCATATCTGAGAGATCTCATCGGCGCTCTTATCGGCAAGCAGCTCCAGCTTCATGATGTCGCTGAGCTTCTTGTGGGGCAGTTCACCCGTTTCCTGGGCCTGCAGCTTTTGCTTTGGATTCAGCAACTCCGAATACGATCTGCAATGAGAGAGGAGTTAGGATGTGGCTGCTTTGGCTGGGATATCACGATTTACCTGGCCTGGCTCTGGCCATCCTTGATAGGGTTCACCACGCGCTCAACGCGATCCAGGAACTCCTCCGCCGAAGTCTGCTGCAGCTTGGCAATCTTTCCGGCGTACTTGAAGTAGTACGGATTGCTCTCCTTCAGCTTATCGATGGCCTCCTCGGCGCGACGGGCGGCGGACATGGTGATGGTGCGGTTCACCGACAAGGAGTTATTCAGGAAAACGCGGAGGAACAATTTTCGGGCGCATGCCATTTCCCACAACTAAAATTATACAACTCGTAGTGAGGTGTGAAAAATTTATTACAATTGAATATATCGATACTTTTACAAAGAACATCATCCAGTACCTGAGTATCGATATTTGGGTTGGCGCACTTGATTTTAAAACAAAACGCAACATATTAAACAATATTATTAATTGAAAGATTAATAGAATTTAGTTTGAGGGGAATTACACTTACATTTTTTCTTTCCTCTACATTTAAAAAATGTTCTCTTTCGTTCCTACATTGGAGTAAGCTTAAGCTTTCTTTTTACAGGTGATTCAACGAATGTAAATTTAACGTTGCTCCAAAATTAATAAAGTTTAAATAAACGAAAGAAATAAAACAAATCTTATCATATTTTTCTGATTTGTAGATAAAATATATCGATATTTTTCGGGTGGCTATGGCTTAGTCGACGGGAGGGTAAAAATTGTTTTTTGATGATCTGGCAACGCTGTAAACAACAAGAATTTTAAAATAAATATTAATAAGTAACTGACAGCTTATCCAACAACTCACTGATGCAACTAATTATATTGAATTATAGCTATGAAATAATTGAATAAAAAGAAATTTGATGAGATTTTAAGAAACTGCTGTAACTTTTCCTTTAATAATAAATGTTATTTCCTTCTTAACAAAACAAGTATGATTTATTTATATTTAAATTCTTTATTTTTGGGATATACAATATGCAAAGGTGAGGAGTTTTTGTTTATGTCGGTTGAAAACATACAACAAGAAACTTGTTTGTTTCAAGAACCCATTTAGTATTGTCTTGATGCTAATGCAATAGGTTTATGTCAGCAAAACTGTTATCATATTGATTGGCAATTACGATATTAATTGCCGTGCCAGTTAGTAAGATATTTGCTTGTTAAAGCAAATAACTTAAAAATATATTTACAGAACGAACTTGGACCTTTCCCAGATCGCATATGGCTGGCCAATCAGCAATGGAAATATATTAATGAGGAAACACGACAGGGATGCAAAACTAAAGTTGAGTTCGGCACTAAACTTAATGTAAATACCCACCTCCGAAGCTTTCGGCTTAACTTAAATTTAATTTGGTGACTAAATGCCTAAGTACGACAAAAATATTCGAAATTACCAGCCCTGGGTCTTTAGTTCATCGAACGAACGTAAATTTAGTATAAATAACCGCATCGAATTCAAGGTGATTTACATTTAAGCTGTTCTTTGACAAACACGAACGCAACTTTTGCCTCAATCGCATGGACTCTTTGCCGGAAGATAGAAGTGTAAACATTGTTTTGGATATATCTGGGTGAAATGGAGACCGACATTCAGAGGTGTTTCAGGAGCAAGACGGTTTTCCTAACAGGAGCCACGGGCTTCTTGGGAAAAGGTATTTGTTTACTTTTAAATTTGAAAAAAAGTACAAAGTTCAAGGAAGAAATGGATAAACCATTGATTATTTTTGTTTTTAAGTTGTGATTGAGAAACTCTTGCGAACCACGGAAGTGAAACGTATCTATGTTTTGATCAGACCCAAGCGTGGAGTTAGGATTCAGGAGCGGATTATCACTTGGTCAAAGGATGAGGTAAGTATCGAGATACGAATTCTTAAAACAGAACCCACTCAGAAAAATAAAATGTATTTTAAAGGTATTCGAACCGCTGCTCAAAAAGAAACCAGAGGCCTTTCAAAGGGTTTGGCCCATCGAAGGAGATTGTCTCGAATCGGATTTGGGAATTAGTGGAAAGGATCGAAGGCTCTTGGCCTCCGAGGTACAAGTCGTGATCCATGGAGCTGCCACCGTGAGATTCAATGAGCCTCTCCATGTGGCCCTGGCCATTAATACAAGGGCCACCAGCTTGATGATCAAGTTGGCCAGGGAAATGAAACAACTGGAGGCCTTCGTTCATGTCTCCACATCCTTTTCCAATTGCATCATCTACGATATCAAGGAGAAATTCTACCCCGAGCACCTGAATTGCAGTTCGGATAAAGTTCTTTCTTGTGTGGAGCTGCTAAGTGATGAGATGCTGGACAGCATGGAAACTGCTCTAGTTGGATCCTTTCCTAATACATACACTTATACAAAAGCTCTGGCAGAGGATTTTATACGGAGGGAAGCGGCTGATTTACCCATTTGTATCTTTCGACCAGCAGTCAGTAAGTTCATTATATTTATTATATATATTTAAGCTAATGATTTCCCTACACCTTAGTTATCGCTGCCCACAAGGAGCCCATCGTCGGTTGGATTGACAACTTGTACGGACCAATGACCATTCTGTATGGAGTGGCTCGAGGAATCCTTCGGATTGCCACCATCAATAGCAAAGCCGAAGCGAGTTTGGTTCCTGTGGATTACTGCGCCAATTTGGCCATAGCCTGCGCTTGGAAAACTATGAAGGATAACAGCTTGAAGACTCCCAAGGAGAGTCCTGTCATCTACCAACTGGCTCCGAAGGAGGAGAACAAGATTACCCACGGAGAGTTCATTCGACATGCACTCGATGGTCGACTTGATTGCCCGCTGACGAATATGATTTGGTATCCCTTCATTCACTGCATCACAACCCCTTGGCTTTATCCCTTCGCTGCCTTTTTCTATCACACTCTGCCAGCCTACTTCATTGACCTGGCTCTTTGGCTGAGTGGCAGGAAACCGCAGTTGGTGAAGGTTTACCAGAAGATACACACGAACCTGAAAGTTCTTGGTCCTTTTGCGTGCAAAAGCTGGCGATTTGACACTCGAAACACGGATTACTTGAGGCAAGTTATGTCCGAGGAGGATCGCAGGATATACTACTTCGACATGATGAATCTGAACTGGAAGGAGTACTTCCTGCAGGCCCTTCGAGGCATTCGCTACTTTCTGGGCAACGATCCTCCCACTCCAGAATCCATTGCCCAAGGACTGAAGCTAATCAAGCGGTAGTTGAATAATGAACCTTATTTCCCAATAAAAATTATATGTAACCCTCTTTATAGCCTCAAGATGCTCCATCACATCCTGCAGGGATTCCTCCTTTTTGTGGCCGGACTCGCTATTTGGTGGCTAATCAAACTCATCGTGTGAATCAGCTATTAAAAACAATTCTACTTAAATTCCTATAGACCTTTCAATGCGTCACAAAGCAAATACATATACATAAATTAGTGTAACACGTGTGTTTTATTTTGATTACGTAGATAGAACTTTAAAAGTTTATATAAAAGTTGTACGGAAATGGATCAAAAAATATATTTTGCCAAGTAACTTCTGCTTGTTTACTAAAGATCAGAATATATTATTACCTATTAATAGCCAGTTAAATGCAAAACTAAAAACTAATTACAGAAATTTGTAAGCCTTAATAATCGCTAAGGCAGTCGGTTAATTTGCATTTGTTACCGATCTCTCAGTTAGTTAACAAGTTTGTTGCAAAATAACCAATACCCAATAATTGGGTAATAAAGTGAAAGGTATTACGTGGGAATGTTGTAACTATATAAAACCTGCACTACCGATTGTACGGTGTCAATGCCACGATTCTCTTTTATGGCCGGTAATTTAGTACTTCCTTAACATTCTACATAGTAAAGATCGCTTATGCCACTGAGTGCAGTGATATAAGAATGCAAAACCGTACCACACTTTTCCTGATATTCATAAACCCATTTACATTCGACGTTAGGGAAGACAGCTCGCCTTGTTTTTTCGTTTTGGTTTGAACTTGTAAAATTAACTTACAAATTATATACAAGATCCAAACAAAAATCGGCTGACTAAGAAGTCAATTACCCTTCTGCACATGTTCTTTGAGTTTATACGTTTTGTAAAATATTTAATAAGTTTATATCAAATTTCTTAATAAATTAGGTTGCATATTAACTTTATATTAATGCTGCCTTGGTTTTTTTTTTGGTGTAGCAATGTATATATAATTATATTTAATAAACACCCAGTTGATATAGAACCATTTAAAATGCTTCTGGTAAATTCGATCCCAGTTCGCAGCGGACAAAACCCACACTCCTCTGTAAAACAGCAGACCACCGATCGCCTTGAATATGCTGAATTCGACCTTTGTAGGGTATAACTTATATAGTTTCAAATAAATACAAGTGTTTGGAATCAATTTTCAGTTCAGTGGCTCGCGAAGCGTCGACTTGGATCACCTGCAGCAGAATGGATAATGGAATACAGGGATTCTTCAAGAACAAAACCGTCTTCCTAACGGGCGGCACAGGATTCCTGGGCAAAGGTACTCCTCCTGCAGTGGATTATAATCGCGAGCTCATGGATTACGCTTTTCAGTGATAACCGAGAAACTGCTGAGAACCACGGAGGTGAATCGGATATACTCCTTGGTCAGACCGAAGCGAGGAGTGCCCATCCAGGAACGCATCTTCACCTGGGAAAAGGATCCGGTGAGTGATGGTGTCGTGTGGAAATTCAGCTGTGATCTGATCCTCCCGGATATTCGTGGCATTGACAGATATTCGAGGTGCTTCTGAAGGTCAAGCCGGACGCCTTGCAGCGAGTGTGTGCCATTTCCGGGGACTGTCTGGAACCGGATCTGGGAATCAGTGAGTCGGATCGGAGGATCCTAGCGGCCGAGGTGCACGTGGTCATCCACGGAGCTGCCACGGTGCGATTCGATGAGGCTCTGCACCTCTCGTTGGCCATCAATGTCCGGGCCACTCGGCTGATGCTCCAGCTGGCCAGGCAGATGACCCAACTGGAGTCCTACGTCCACGTGTCCACCGCCTACTCCAACTGCATCGTCGAAGACATCGCGGAGCGTTTCTACCCGGAGCACTTGAACTGCAGCGCGGATAAGATCCTCAAGTTGGGAGAGCTGGTGAGCGCTGAGGTCCTGGACCAAATGACCCCTGCCCTGGTGGCGAACTTTCCCAACACCTACACCTACACGAAGGCGCTGGCCGAGGACGTGATCCTGCAGGAGGCGGGCGACCTGCCGCTCTGCATCTTCCGACCGGCGATCAGTAAGTGCACCAAACTTATATTGTCTCTTCAAAGGCTGCCACTTGAATCTTTACAGTAATGTCCACCTACAAGGAACCCCTGCATGGCTGGGTGGACAACCTGTTTGGACCCATGGCCCTCTGCTTTGGCGGAGCTCGTGGCATTATGAGGGTCACCACGGTGGACAAGAAGGCCAAAATCAGCATGGTTCCGGCCGACTTCTGCGTCAATGTGGCTTTGGCCTGTGCCTGGAAAACGGCGGAGTGTTCTGTACAGAAGGGGAACGTGAAGAGTCCTCCGATTTACACCTTCGCACCCAGCGAGGGCAACCTGTTGACTTATGGTGACTTCATTAGGTCACTGGTTGTGTACCGCGACCTCATTCCGCTGACCAAAATGCTGTGGTATCCCTTCGTCTTTTGCATCACCAACCAGTCGCTCTTCCCGCTGGCCGCCTTCTTCTTCCACACTCTTCCCGGATATTTCTTTGACTTTCTACTACGGCTTAAGGGCAGGAAGCCGATTCTGGTGGATCTCTACCGGAAGATTCACAAAAACATCGCCGTTCTGGGCCCCTTCTCCAGTAGCTCTTGGAATTTCGACACGAAGAACACGATGAGACTGAGGGAAACGATGTCCAAGGAGGATCTCGAAATCTACGACTTCGACATTGCCCTTTTGGATTGGCATGACTACTTGAAGTCCGCCATGTACGGAATGCGCCTTTATATTGGCAAGGATCAGCCAACAGCAGCTTCCATTGCCAAGGGTCTGAAACTGAAGAGCCGGTGAGTTTTCCCAAGAGATTTGTAGTTCAACTTGATGCTTAATTACCCTTTGCAGTCTGAAGATCCTTCACTATGCATTCACATCCTTGCTGATCTATGCAGCTGTCTACGTCCTTTGGTCGCTAGTCAAACTAGTAGTTTGATTTTCTTAAAAAGTTGTGTATTATAGGTGGTTAAAATGCGCTGCTGCTTAAATATGCTGATTGCATTAATTAGAAAAACGGAAAAACACTTCTACAAGTTTTTTCCCTGTTCGGATTTAATGTTGCGCAAATGGTTCAAGTGGTAGCGCATTTTAACAGATTGAAAGATACATAAACTATTAGTTTTATAAGTTATTGAATTTTAATATTGATGGGCCAAATGTCCTGTCCCAAAATGTCTATGATAAATATAATCAAAATTTTAAGTTCTGTGACATATATTTTATACAAATACCATTTTTTCTAATAATCTCATCATTCTATTTCAGTCTAGAAAGTTTAATGTTTATCTTTATGTTTTGAAATTTAAAAAAAAATATAATTATTCCAATACAATTTTAGTTCTATCATTCCTTCACTGCGAAAAAAACATTCGACTTTATAAATTGAGTTCATTTTACCATTGAACCCCAACATTATCGCAGATGGACCTTTTCCCTTAGCTTGCATGTAAACAAATTTGTACAATTTGTACACTTAATAATAAAAAGTGAGCACCTAAATATGTTATGTTCAGTTAACCAGTGATTTAAAGTTTTTTGTGCCCCGAGGAGTGCAATTCGGCTGTCAGTGTGACTATTCATTAGGCGTTGGCTTGTTTTATTTGGATAAGTTTGCATACAATTGGCCGGGTCAGTGGACAAATGACACCGCGTCTATCGCCGCAGTCGGTATATAAATAGCGCGACCATACCCAATTGATTTCCGATTGAAGTGTGTGATTTAAATAGAAAGCATCGGAGGAACTTCTCCATATTGACACCGGCAATTCCAGGATCAAGCAAAATGGATAGCGGCATCCAAGGATTTTATAAAGACAAGGTGGTATTTTTAACAGGCGCCACAGGATTCTTAGGAAAAGGTAAACTCCGATCAATAACCTCGAAAAACCGAGCATTAATTGATTAAAACGGAAATTTTATTTCGTCGTTTTGCCAAATTTTGCAGTGATAATTGAAAAACTTTTGCGAACTACGGAGGTAAAACGTATATACGCGATGGTTAGACCAAAAAGGGGTCATGATATTCAGCAGCGCATGGAGATATGGCAAAAGGATCCGGTGAGTAAAAATTATTAAAAAAAAGGTATAAAAAAATTATGTAAAAATAATATTATTTTCAATCCTCAAGCTCTTTGAAGTCCTTTTTAAAGTTAAAGCCCAAGGCATTGCAAAGGATATCCACAATTTCGGGAGACTGTCTGGAATCCGATCTAGGCATTAGTGAAATGGATCGAAGACTTTTGGCTTCTGAAGTACAAATAGTCATCCATGGAGCAGCCACCGTGAGATTCAATGAGCCTCTTCATGTGGCACTTGCCATAAATACTCGTGCCACACGACTGATGCTCCAATTGGCCAAGGAGATGACAAATCTTGAGGCATTCTTGCACATCTCCACTGCGTTCTCAAACTGTGTAATCTTTCGGATCGAGGAGAAGTTCTATCCCGAACACCTCTCCTGCGATTCGCAAAAGGTCCTGGCCTTGAGTGAACTACTAAACGATAAAATGCTGGAAAGTGTAGCGCCCACTCTGCAAGGATCCTTCCCCAACACTTATACCTACACAAAAGCCCTGGCGGAGGATGTGATCCTACGGGAATCGGGGGACCTTCCTATAAGCATCTTTCGACCAGCAGTTAGTAAGTATAATAAGTATAATATAAAACAAATAATACATTTTCATGTTTTTCACATTTTTTCATATATGTAGTTTGAACAAGTAATGCCGTAATTTGATAATCAAAAATGTTTGAAATAATTAAAGATATCATATAAAATATATTTTTGTTAACATAATTTAATTATTATTATAACAGGAGACACTGACACCTATTATGGTTAAAAGTTAATAAGGTTTTCATACCGTTTCTAGTTCATTATCTTATAAGAAGTATTAATATTTATTTACCCTTCTAGTAATTGCCACCCACAAAGAACCGGTTGTCGGTTGGATTGACAATCTGTACGGACCAATTGGCCTGATTTATGGAGTGGCCCATGGAGTCCTGCGCCTGACCACCTGCAAGAAAGAGGGCTACACCAGCTTCGTGCCCGTGGACTACTGTGCCAATGTGGCGTTGGCTAGTATATGGCAAACAGCCAGGGATAAAACCCCAAGAAACCCAAGGAAACAGCCCAGCATTTACACTTTAGCTCCCAGTGAGCGGAATCTGATGAGCAATTTGGAATTTTACAACCACACCCTCTGTTGTCGGGAGGAGTTTCCGCTGACCAAGATGATATGGTACCCCTTCCTGCACTGCATTTCCATTCCGTGGCTCTTTCCGGTAGCCGCGTTCTTCTATCACACGCTTCCCGGGTTTCTTTTCGATCTGGTACTCAGGATCACGGGCAGGAAGCCGCGTCTGGTGAAGCTCTACAGGAATATCCATGCCAGCATTACCCTTCTGCATCACTTTTCGCGAAACAGTTGGTTCTTTAAGACCAAGAACACTGATCATTTGAGGTCTCTGATGTCCCCGGAGGAGCGGATCATGTACAACTTCGATATGGAGGCGCTGGACTGGAGGAAGTACTTCCAGAAGGCCCTGTTTGGCATGCGGCTTTACCTTGCCAAGGAGCCTCCAACTAAGGAATCCGTTGATCAGGGTCGAAAGCTCTTGCAGAGGTGAGTTCTTGATGAAAGGATGCAATCACATCCCACAAATTATCCTTTTTTTCATTGCAGGTTGAAAATCTTGCACTACAGTTTCATAACTACACTGTGGATTATTGCTGGAATCATTGTATGGACCCTTATCAAATTAGTAATTTTTTAAGGCAATAAATTGATTTCTTGTATGAATTAAAAAAATAGTATTGTTTATCTCAAAAGAGGGTGAGCGATTTTTAGGTTTCTTACCCAAGACAGAAAACAAAATTAACTTGGAGATTTATTATGCAACGGGCCAGTTGCACTCAGGTGCACCAGCTTAGCATAAATTTTAAAACGGTAAAATTTTATTCGTTTTTTTTTTAAACAAACAATTTGGGGCATTTAAATTTGAAGCATTTTAAAAACATTTTAGTGGAGCTTATAACAGATTCATTGTTTTTGGAATTAAAGTGGAAAGTGTAGATTTTAGCATCATGAAAATAAAATATTTTGAGGCATTTTTAAAATTAAATTTAGAAATAAATAATAAATAAGTAGGGGAGATGTGGGGGTTGTGGGCATAGTTTTGTTTTTGGCTTATAATTACCGAACTAGTGCATATTATTTGGACATATGGGTATCTGTGTAAAGCTAGAGACCTAAGCTAACTAATTATGAAGAAACATATTTGATTTTGTCATGCGAAAAAATTTCATATGGACTTTTGTAAAATCGTAATTTTTAGCTAAAATTTTTTTTTGGGGGGGTTGTGGGCACCCTGGGAAAAAATGCTGCAAATGGAATAATATGGAAAAAAAACCGCAACCAATATCAACAAAATGACAATTTATTTATTTCACGAATATTCTGAAAGCCGAAATACAGTGGCTCGCAGCTTATTTCGTGCAGTTACCTAAAAAAGTTCAAATCGTTATTCCTGCTAAGCTAAAAAAGATAACTGAAAAATTTAAACGCAGTATTTTAATATGGAATATTAACTTATTTATTGAACGAACGCGATTTTCTTAATCATAAAAACAAAAAAATTATTTAATAAAAACAAAATGTACAGGGTTTTCGATGCCGCAGCTTATTTCGTGCAGCAGATTCTACTTAACTTATTATTAGTAATTTAACAGATACGGTTTTGTATGTCCATTTTTCTGGTTCAGGACATCTTTGAGATGATTTCCCATGGAGCAAAATAACTTTTTAGTGGTTTCCAGTGGAATTTTTTGCCATTCTTCCATAAGAACAGTTTTCAGGTCGTTTTTGTTCGAAATCTTCCTCTTCCTTATAGCGATGTCCAATATTTCCCAAAAATTTTCGATCTCATTTAAATCTGGAGACTGTGCTGGCGTTATAACGACATGTGGGCAGTTCCAGGTAACCCAAGACTTCACAATTCCTGCTGAATGCTTCGGATCGTTGTCCTGGTAAAATCGAAAACGATCGCGTATGCCCAGTTTTTTAGCAGTTTGGAGTAGGTTATCCTCTAAAATGTTGAGGTACATTGTAGCGTCCTTGATGCCATCTATAAAAATGAGTTTGCCCATGCCAGAGACTGCCTTACAGGCCCAAACAATGGCCTGACCAGCGCTATGTTTGACCGTAGGTTTCAGGTGCTTATTTTCAAACTCTGTATTTGGTCACAGGAGCACATACTTTCACTAATTTTGATCTGGGATGACTTTATTTTTGCTGACGAGTCAAAATGTAACATTTTTGGTTCAGATGGACGACAATTTGTGTGGCGGCGACCAAATACAGAGTTTGAAAATAAGCACCTGAAACCTACGGTCAAACATAGCGCTGGTCAGGCCATTGTTTGGGCCTGTAAGGCAGTCTCTGGCATGGGCAAACTCATTTTTATAGATGGCATCAAGGACGCTACAATGTACCTCAACATTTTAGAGGATAACCTACTCCAAACTGCTAAAAAACTGGGCATACGCGATCGTTTTCGATTTTACCAGGACAACGATCCGAAGCATTCAGCAGGAATTGTGAAGTCTTGGGTTACCTGGAACTGCCCACATGTCGTTATAACGCCAGCACAGTCTCCAGATTTAAATGAGATCGAAAATTTTTGGGAAATATTGGACATCGCTATAAGGAAGAGGAAGATTTCGAACAAAAACGACCTGAAAACTGTTCTTATGGAAGAATGGCAAAAAATTCCACTGGAAACCACTAAAAAGTTATTTTGCTCCATGGGAAATCATCTCAAAGATGTCCTGAACCAGAAAAATGGACATACAAAACCGTATCTGTTAAATTACTAATAATAAGTTAAGTAGAATCTGCTGCACGAAATAAGCTGCGGCATCGAAAAACCCTGTACATTTTGTTTTTATTAAATAATTTTTTTGTTTTTATGATTAAGAAAATCGCGTTCGTTCAATAAATAAGTTAATATTCCATATTAAAATACTGCGTTTAAATTTTTCAGTTATCTTTTTTAGTTTAGCAGGAATAACGATTTGAACTTTTTGTAGGTAACTGCACGAAATAAGCTGCGAGCCACTGTATAAAGAATAAAGCGTGGAATTCTTAGTGATAATCTATATCTTACGAATATTCTGGAAGCCGAAAAATGAAGAATAAAGTGTGAAAATCTTAGTGATAATCCCTCTCAGCGGGAGAGGATCCTTTTCCAAGAGCATAAGATTTCTACAAGAATGTTCTAGAGGGTTCCAAACAAATTTTGAAAACAATTTTACAAGAAATTGTAGGTAATAAAAAAATTTGCCAAAAAAAAAACGGGTGCCCACAACCCACCCAATTGTGGTGCCCACAACCAACTTTCGCAGACATTTTAAGAAGTAATTAAAAAATGTGTTTGCATAAATTTTTTGGTTCAAATCGATATTGTTCCATTTAGTATAATGCTTTGACTAAATAAAAATGCATTACACTTACCTTTTTAATCGATTCTCTTTAATTGATACACTATTGAAAATCTTTGAATAAAGTTTCACCACCTTTTCCAAGCACAAAAAAACCAATTCGTTCATTTCAAAAAGCAAACGCGTTCGTTTACTTTGATATTTGGCATAAATTATACATAGGGTAATTGCTTGCGAATGACATTACCAACAAAAGTCAATCTTCATTTTGTGAAAATATACGTAGGGGTGCCCACAACCGACCCATGCCCACAACCCCCACTTCTCCCCTACTTATTCAAAAACAAGGTAATTGCCACATTACTTTACCAGAAATCCTATAAAACCATAACGCTTATAAACCAACGCTTATAGCGTTGCCAACTGCTTCACTTAGCAGAGTTATGCACCGCAGCACAAATCCGAGTCTAGAACCCAATAGCACTAAAATCTTCTGAAGGTGGATACACATAGCGATTTTGCGATAAATTTTTTAAGCCGTACATCTATACAAAACTATCCACACTAGCTTAAACATGTTCTTCAGAATGAATTCGGCGAAACAGGATTATGTTTACCAGGATGAAAAAGCGACTCTGGCGGACGAGTTTGACTAATATTCAAAGATAACAACTGATGATGTGGGGATTGACTAAGGCTATTTAAGTCCTTTGCACCGCATAAGGGTTAAGCCACACACTCTATTGCTGTTTCTTTCGCACTTGCGAGAATGTAGTACTTAATAATGGACTCACTTACCCGACAAGACTGCCGCCCTACACTTATTCCATCTCTAGCTCAAACCTGTTCTCGGTTTGAATTCGTTTGAAACAAATTTCAATTCGAAAAAAACGTTCGAGCGTGGCGCACGTTACGATTCCTCCGACTGGTGTGTACTGCCGACTGGCTCCCCTCTCAGCCCCAGTGGAAAATCTATACTGTGCATAAGATATAACTCTGAAATAGGTGCCAGTTTTGCCGTTATTGATTTACCACCGCGCCCGTTCGTTTGTGTGCTATTTGAAGTAATTGTTTTTTCGGCCACCGAGTTGCATAATTTCTGTGGCGGTCGTTGATTTCTGCGTCCCGATTTTCCAAGAATTACCCATAAGAAATAAGAAATACGAAAAAGCTGCGGGAAGAAACTATATAAAAAGTGCCGCAGCAGCGGAATGGGAATGCGCATAATAATTAAACACAACGGAGCGGGGAAAAAATAATACACAATAAGCGCAGCTTTTGGTTTTATCTGTGTGTTGTGCTTGCCGATTCCTCGGTGGTCCGTTTTTCGCTTGTTGTTCTATGTGACATAACGGTATTTGGCCGAGCTTAGCTGTGCAAAAAAAAAACCGAAGAGAACATAACAGGAAACGCAGATAACCTTGCGAAAACAAAGAAGAAAAGGCCAAGCACTGCAGAAACGCATTCTGTGAATTAATTCTTTTATTCCGGGAATATACTTTCGGCTAACTGTTGTTTGCCTTTGAATTGCAGATTAATCGTAGAGCAGCACTCGCACACGCCTCCCCGCAAAAAAAAACACTTACACACACACTGCCACCGACGCGTCGCTGCAGCAGAGGCTCCAAAACCAGTGTTGTTGTTGCAGCACCGCCGTCGCTCTTGTTGTTGCTCTTCGACCGCTAGAATAATGAACGTCGCAGCGCTGTTTTTGGCGCTGCTGCTCTGCGCCGCGAACGCAGCCGCCGACGCCGATTTGGCGGATAAATTGCGCGATGACTCGGAACTCTCTCAGGTGAGTCAGAAGAAGAAGACTGGGGATAAGGATGGGGATAATAAGAACAAGAGGAAGTGGTAGACGAAGAAAGCAGTGGCAGCAGAAACAGTTTGTGCAAACAATGCGCGACTGCCAAAAACACTTGTAGGCGAATAAGCCCCCAGCACAATCCACCTGCCTCCCACCGCCCTCCGCTCACCTTGGCTTATCCTAAGGTACAGTAGGCACTGCCTACAGTAAAATAAATCGATTATTTGTATAGTTGCATACATTTCATAAACTTTTTGAAACAAAACTCATATATTTTATAATTTAACAGATTATTATTTAAAGTTAAATTATTGACACAAGAATGAATTTATAAAATTGATTTTTAAGAATGATACAAAACGAGATTTTGTTTCTTGGAACCAAGTGAACAGAAATAATCTGATAGATTTTGATAATATCATCATTCTTCCTATACGCATTATCAGACAATTCCAATCTTAATGGACGTCTGTTATTTACTCGCTAACTCGTTAACTAGGGAAATTTACATTTTCCGCACAATTAAAGTAAGTAGGAACGATAAAGTATCTTCGAGTATCAGTTCGTTAGTTTTGCAGTTTTTAAATGACTCAGTTTGAGATCGTTTTTAAATGTCTATTACAATCTTATAATCTAACCAAACATAAAAACTAATTTGATAATGGCAACGCCTCTTCAATATACCTGCCATTGTCAAACTACAAGTTCCGAGCTATCAAAGTTTGGCTGTAATCGTGCCATCCCCCACAAGGGTCGCCACATTTCGCTGGCCTTGAAAGGAAAAGCCTTGACAGAGTGTGCGAAAGGGAGGGGGCGAACCGAGGCCGAAAAAGGAGCCTGCGCAAGAGGGACGGACAGATGGCCTAGGCACCCGCATTTGGGCACAGGTAGCTTTGTTCCGGCAGCATCGTCCTTGACCTTTAGCCATCTCACTTGTTGTTGGGGCTGCGGAAAATCGATGATGCTGCATGAAATCCCTGGCGGAAAGTCCACCCGACCACTGAACTCCACTTGGCCACATTTAGTATGCATGGCGGAGTATGTTATGTAAAAATGAAAAGCCACATAAATTAAGTAAGCAGAATTCAGCCGACTGAGAGCCCAGCATACAAACACCGGCCGTTGACGTCCACTGAGCATAACAGTTTTATATTTAGTTTTGCCTTTTTACACCTTCACAGACCAACTCACACGCCAAACTACGCGGACACAAAAAAAAAAGTACATAGAAAAACACATTAAAATGTAAAAAAGCCAGAAGCCCACAAAGGTACGCGGCTGAAATAACAAGAACAACATGTGTAATGAGCACAAAGGCGGGGTTTCAGCTAGGGAAAGAGTTATTAATTTTACACCAGGAAAAAAGTGGAGGCCATAGACTTTTTCACAAGGCATTGTTTAAACTGTATTCCCCACATACTTAAATAAATATTTTTTTGGTTCTATAACTCGACTTATTTATCTTGTCATTATTTTAAAAATACTTTTTGAAAAAAAAGGTTAGCTTTATAGCCTTTTAGGTAACAAATATCTGAGCCCCTGTATTAATTTCTAGCCTGCTTAGCGCTTAAGGGGGGAAATACAATTAGAAATTTTTTTTTTTCGAAAAATTTTTTTTTGGGGTAATGTACTCTAAATATGTCTGAGAATAAGCCTTTAAAAGCATAAAGCCGTCCGGTCCTTATTTTCAAAGTTATACACAATTTAGTGAGGGTGTGTCATATGGCGGACATGCACAAAAGTAAACTTTAAACGCTTCTCCTGAAAAGTCGTGTTTTCAAAGTCGCCGTGCAATGTACAGGTCAGAGATTTTATTTTAATCGAATGCGGTTTTTTGCATTATGTTTGAAATTAAATTCTCCACACCATGAATATAACAGTTTTTCAAACTTGTTTGTTATAACATGTTTTTTTTACAAACAAAGTCGAAAAAAAAACGTTATTTTTGAAATTTTTTTTTAACTTCAAATTTTTTAATGGAAAAATAATTTTTTTCAAATATGGAATAATTCATGGTGTGCGCTGTACCTTTAAGTTTAAAGCCCAGTTGCTGTTTTTTGTTTAAGTCGTGATCCTGGACCTGGAGACTGCACGGCGCAAAGTCCTTCCCTAAAAACACGACTCCACATTATTGATCATAAATGGGCTTAATTACAATATTTTTCAAAAAACTTGACTGATTTTTATTGCTCAATAATTACCTAATAACATGCAAAAAGAATCGCTAAGATTCATTTAACACCCTACTTGCAATCCACTCCCAAAGATAGCCCTCATTTCAGGCCTTCTAATTGTATTTCCCCCCTTAACTTCCAAAATACGTGTTGGCTGAGCAAAAATTAAATGGTATTCCAAGTAAAAAGAAAGCGTGCGACAGAAGCCAAGAAAAATCGGGCGGTAATTGTTGCAGCAAGTGTCTCTGAACCGCGGGGTCTCAGGGAAGCACATACTATACTATATATAGTTGCATCCACCAGCCAACACAACCTTTTTAAGTCGCGATAGACGAAACAGAGCGTACAGCGAAAAATAAAAACGGGAGGGGGTTTCGGCTTGCTCATTTGCACCCTGACTTCGGGGTATCGTAACTTCAAACAGAAGTTTGCCACTTGCAGTGGAAAGCGTTTCCGGCCACATATAGTATTCAGTTTACATGAGGGTTGGTCGATTTAGTCGTCATAAAAACGTGGGGGCGGAAAATAATCTTCGCTTACTTATGTAAATTTAATGCCGTTAAAACTGAAGATTAAAGTCAACTCTTGGCAAACCCTTTTAATGGAAAATATTTCTGTATTTCTTCTCATAATTTGTCACTAGTTTTTAGCTCAAATAGTATTCTTATATCAGAAGTATAATTCTATTAATCTTACTCTTTAGGATAGTGTTTTCCAACTTACCCTTGAAATTTAATCCGATTTCCTAGGACTAAATTGAAATCTATACAAAATTGCTCTGAAAGAGTATTTCAATCTTCTGGAGTCAGTCTTCAGTCTTTTCTCATTATGCCTGCACTTCTCATTACATGCTGATGGGTTAGATAAATATAGGTTGCCCGTGTCTTGGTTTGTGGCTTACGACTTGTGGTTTTGCTTGGCAGACCACCGGGGGATCTGGAGAGAGAGTTTTTGAATGAGTCGACGCTGCTGCATTCCCCGCTAATCCCAGTAAATTACTTCTGCTAAATATGGAGCTCTGGTGGAAACTGGTTGAGAAAACCAGAGTGGAGCATTTTTAATCCCGTAGAGTGAAATTTGAGTCGTAATTAATTAATTTACATAAATTGCTTGTATCTGAAAAAAAAAGAACTACTGCGGGTCCGAGGAGCAACCGACTGACCTCCCGCGATTGACCCCCACTTCCTGTCGTGCGTCAGCGTCTTGTGTGTTTTATTAATTTTAATTTTTAACCTTTGACTGGTGCAATTGCAGTCGGCCGACTGTGGGGGTGTGGACAGCAGCCCGGGTTGTCAACTGAACAGTTCAGTTGAACTCTCCGTCTAGGAACACACTCTCTGTACACTCTCACTCGCAGCATCATCGAATTCAATTAAATTTAATTTAAGAATTCAATGCGATGCCAAGGCGCGTTATTTGATATGCGACGAGCTCCATTACTGGCAAGGCGATGAATGAGCCACGACTGACCTTAATGGATCCACATGCTCATAGACGGATCTCCTCCGTCGTCCGGAGCCACAAATCATACGTATGCGATCCGGTGGGGGCGAGACGACCTCGGACCGAGGCCCACAGTAGTAGTCCCCCTCCACTGCCCGCCCTGCCAATTAAAAGAGAAATGCTCCGCCTGAATCTCAAGTCCCAATTCTCGGGGGTTGAGATCGCTTTCGCTTTTGTTTTCTGTTTCTGTTTCTGCTGCCGCTGCAATTATCGAAAAGAAAATATGTACTGTACTGCTGAACATATGCATACATAATTTGTACCAATTAAATTTATTTATACAACATGCACTCGCTCAGAAGGAAACCAAACCCTCAGCCCCCGATCTCCTGCTTCGATTTCAGTCCCTACTCCACAAAAAGAAAAAAAAAAAGAAATGAAAAATAGGAAGCTTGGCTCGTTCTCTTGGCTAATTAGTTTTAATGGCTCCATTAGATGATGGAAATTGAATTTCCTCAAGCGCCGCGCCTCCCCATCTTACGACCGTAGTTGTTTTGGTATAGGAATTAGTACAATTTTTGGCTACAAATCGAAAGAAAACAAAACAAGTTTGAACTGCCAGCGGTTCTCTCTCTTTCTTTCTTTCTTTCTCTCTCTCTCTCTATCTCTTTCAGAGCACTGCCAAATCCTTGAGGCGCCTTATGCCAGTTAGGGTAAGCTGCAATTCCAAAAACCAAACAGAAACAACACGAACACACACAATTAGGCTATTGTAAAATTCGACCAGACAAGCGACATACATACATCTGCAACTCACATGTGTTTTTTTTCGACTTAATTTAGTTAACCAGTATTCATCGGGCCATTGGCCAAATTATTGTTTGCCCCGCCGTCTGACTCTTACCCTTGCTTTTTTGGGGTGAGTCTGTGGCCCCAGGGTCATTGGCTTGGCACTCGGGAAAATCAAAATGCGCTTTTCGAAACCCTCCCCCTTTGGGAGCACTTACTTTGGCGGTTGGGAGGCGGGGGGAGCCATGTTTGCATAGTAAATGAGACGCCCCAGCCCGAAAGGGAAACTGTTTTTCGATGACAGGATAATACCCTGACGATTGTAGCGAATATTCGGGCTTACCAAAAAGACTCCCCGGGGAAGGGCCCACGGCCTTATCGAGATGATGTGCCAAAAGAGCCGGAAACTCATTAAGATGGGTTCCCTTCCGCCCGGTTCTTTCACCAAATGCAAAACATTCGATAACGGAAATTTATGAAAGTAATTGCATCTAATTGTCAAAGGCTTCTAGTCGAAACCCGAGGGGGTTGCAATTGCTAAGGATGCTGACAGATGGGCAATCGAAAATGGCCGCCGAAGGGAAAGTGTGACAGTTTTCGGGCAAACAATATCTATTCAGTGAAACTTCTCTCCATCGAATTCTGGCTAATAGATTGTATACCTGAACGTATCCCATATCAACCTGTGACATATGCCACAGACAGTCCCGAATACCCCACTTAACAGCAGGGCACTCTCTGGCCAGATAAGCGAAAACATTTCGAAAGCGAAATGGAAACCGGCCAAGCAGTTCTGGCCAATACCGGAAACGGGCCAAGAACAAAGCCAGCGGCGACTCGAATGTCCACAACCAGGACAACAACACGGCTAACGGCCCCGAGAACTGACGGTCTCGAATTACCAAAAAATAAAATGAATGGATATCAGCACTACAAAGTATTTACACTCCGGGAAAAGGACAAAGAACTTCTTGGTTATTGTATTTTTGAACTGTTTATTGAGTAAACTATTGAATTTCGCCATAGTGCTTTATGTTAAAGATTTTCTTGAAAGTTTTTAAGAAATCTTAAGAGATGTTGAAGTAATTTTTAAGTTGTTTATAGAACAAACTTTATTATGTATAACCTCAAAGTATGATGATTATTTTGCAGGTGAAAATATTATTATTATTATTATACTACTTGCAGTACAGGGTTGCAATTTAAAAGAACATTTATATAGTCTGTTGCAAGTCAATCTTATTTGGATTTTAATAGGGAATGCTACACAAGGTCTTTCTAATTTATAAAAGGGATTTCCAATACTGATAATCGATAGATTGACTTTAAAACCTTTCCTGAATTAGGTCCCTTTTTCATAGTGTAGATGCGTGTGTGGTGGCGATGCCATAGCATAGATATTATATGTGCAGCAGGCAGGGGAAATGAAAATGTAAATGGAAAAGGGAAAGGAAAGGACGGACTTTTAAAGCCAAATTGACATGACTCATGCTGGGCAGCAACGAAAACACGAGAGTCGCACGACCGTTTTAAAGGAGGACACGGAAAAAGGTGTTGTCCTCGGCAGGACACGCACCCACACACAAACAGAGAACACATAGCGCACTAAGACACACACAGATATGTTCGCAGGACCTCATAAAGCCGACTGGGAATGTGCAGCGGGGCGTGGCGGCCAGTAGTGGTTCTTCGCCGGGAAGCCGCAGAGTGTGCGGTTGCATGTGGCCTCGTGTGGCAGGGGCAGGTGGTCCGCCCGCCAGTCAGTCAGTTGCCCGACTCTGGACCTGGTTTAGGGTCAGTGGCTGCCTTTTCGGGGTGGCCGGAAAATGCATTTTCACATCCCGCTCGCAATTGAATGACACACAATCCACTTGGGCGGCGTAACCCACCCCGAGGCTTACGTAATTGGTTCAATAAACTTGTTCCTTTTCCCTTCACATTTTTTTTTTCTGGTACGCCGCCACCCAGCCATCACAGCCAGGACATGCATAATGTTGTTCCTCATTTTATTAGTTTGTTAGACGTTGCCATGGTGCGCTGGTCGGTTGCCGTTTTGCCAAAAACCGCCCAGCAACCGTCTGCGAACCACCCCAAAAGGCACCCACCCACCCACTCTACCACCCCGGAACCACCACCCACTATCCCCCCAATCCCTCGCCACTCGGTTCGATAAGATATTGGCAATATAAAGCGTGGCGGATGTAGTGTAACGAACCCGTTTATCTTTGCAGTTCTACAGCCTGCTGGAAAGCGACCTCGTCGCCAACTCAACGCTCGCGCTGCGCAGCTGCACGATCTTTGTGCCCACCAATGAAGCCTTCCAGCGCTACAAGAGCAAAACCGCCCATGTGCTCTATCACATTAGTGAGTAGTCCATGTCCCATGTCCACTGCCAATCATCAGGCTGATTAAACATAATCAAACTAACGTGACTCGACCAATTTGATTCCCCTGTTTTTTATTTTCACAGCCACTGAGGCGTACACCCAGAAACGACTGCCGAATATCGTGTCATCGGACATGGCCGGCAATCCGCCGCTGTACATCACAAAGAACTCGAACGGCGACATCTTTGTGAACAATGCCCGGATCATTCCCTCGCTCAGCGTGGAGACGAGCAGCAATGGCAAGCGACAGGTCAGTGGCCCGTCCCTCCACATATTTAGCATTCCATAGGGCCACAAAGCAAGCTGTTTTAAACTTCCCCCTCTGTGTGTTTACAGATCATGCACATCATCGACGAGGTGCTGGAGCCGCTGACCGTGAAGAGCGGCCACACGGACACCCCCAACAATCCGAATGCTCTCAAGTTCCTCAAGAACGCCGAGGAGTTCAACGTGGACAACATCGGCGTGCGCACCTACCGCAGCCAGGTTACGATGGCCAAAAAGGAGTCGATCTACGATGCCGCCGGACAGCACACCTTCCTGGTTCCCGTTGATGAGGGATTCAAGGTTGATTTCCCCTTGCTTACTTACTTCCCGTATCTGACAAACCCCTTTGTTGTTACAGCTATCGGCTCGCAGCAGCCTGGTGGACGCCAAGGTCATCGATGGCCATGTGATACCCAACACTGTCATCTTCACTGCCGCCGCCCAGCACGACGATCCCAAGACTTCCGCCGCCTTTGAGGATTTGCTCAAGGTCACCGTCAGTTTCTTCAAGCAGAAGAACGGCAAAAGTAAGTAACCCAAAAAGTTTTAGTAAACTGTGTTTCATTAAACATATGCTTAATATATTCCTTTTAGTGTATGTAAAGTCCAACACCATTGTGGGTGATGCCAAGCACCGCGAGGGAGTGGTTCTGGCCGAAATCGTCAAGGCCAACATTCCAGTGAGCAACGGAGTGGTCCATCTGATCCACCGACCGCTGATGATCATCGATACGACGGTCACCCAATTCCTGCAGGTATGTGGGGTGTTGGAGAAACGCATCCAGTGAAGTAGTAGACACACCGACACAGACAGACACTCCAAGATACAAACAACCAGAAACAGTGATAGTGCCTGCGGCTTGTGATAAGGCTTGGCATTTTGATTGGCTCGGCACGCACTGAAAGATATCGCTGTTGGCAGCTCCAAAGATACTGGGAAACCAATTAAATCGCTTTCCAGCTGCCCCAGCAAATGCTACAAAACATTAGCTAAACACATTCCAACACACACTTCAAGCACTCTGCTTTTCTTTGCCCTTAATTGAGTTTCTTCACAAAAACAATACTTCCCAAGGGAGGAAATCCCCATGGTATAAGTCTCCGCAGGGCTCAAGTGCGGGCAAAGCCAAACCAAATAAATTTGCACCCAGAAACCACAGCTTAACACATACAGTTTAGAACATATATATTCTAAGTATCCCCTAGATACATATTTTTAATGAAAATGAAAACCCAAAAGACTGATTCTACCTAGAACTGAATTTTTGTCCATATTTGTTGCAAAACTTCTCCACCAAAGGATTTTGCTCAAAAAGTCAGTATTCTAATTCGGCTCTATGTAAAATCAAAAGCAAAATTTTATTTTAAAATAATTTTTAAAATATAAATTTTATTTTAAAAAATTTTGGGTGTAATGTAAGTATTGCCAAAAACTGAAAAACCAAAAAAACAAAATTATTAAGCGCAATGTATATCATGTAAATTTTTCTATGAATCAAACTTCCGTCTCAAAATGCATTTCACTCCAGTTATCGCACAGAAAAGTGCAATGGACTGACTCAGTTGTGCAAGGCGCTTGATATTGGCTCTCGAAATTCGATACGTGATTTAGTCACCAATTGGCAAATACTAAACAAAAAAAATTGCTGAAAAGGCGCGCTTTGCTCGATCTGACCGAAATCGACAAAAGCTTCACTCACCAAAAACCCCATTGTTCTATATTGAATGTATTGGTATCTTAATGGCGTCATAAATTAAGGAAATTTATAAATTAATCTTTATCATTTATTGGCTAACGCTCTTCGATCGATCCCTCAATCGCCGTGCATTTTAATGGTCAACCATCGATCGCTCGCTATCAGCCGGCATGCTTTGATCATAATATCGTAACCGTAGCTGTATATGTTTCTTCTAAGCCTAATCCGAAACCACCACCCTCCCGATAAATAGCTTCCTCATGGGCATATACATTAAATACAATCCGTTTCGAAGCTATGAGCCAGATTTTGACGACAAGTACGAAATAAGTTCGACTTTGGAGTCCAGTAACATAGCTTTTAGTTCATCTTATAGTTGTGAAACGGACTGTAGAATGGCTATATCATTCGACCGCTCGAATCGTCAGCGCCCCCATATCGTGCTATCGTTTTCGAAATTTCCAATCTAGTTCTGTTGTAATTACTTGTGATACGCTCTCTTGGCTATTTACTGATCCATACCTCTATCCTTTGTTTCTCGCAACATGACGAATAATTGTATCTAAAACTACAAACACAACCCGACCCAACCACAAATCGCTCTAAAATTGAATCGATGCACCGAAAATTGAAACAAAAACCAATACGTTGACGCATTCAGTCGTTCAAGGTAAACAAAACCAAGATCCGATTTTAATATTTAGTTTACTCTTACTTTTTAGTTGCATTTTGAGTTGCATCCCCTGTATATTCCATTTGCATGATGTTATCCCAGATAATGCCTAGACCTCTTTTGTAATGTCAATTGAAAGTCTTCCAAATGTGACTGCAGATTCGCAAATGAAATGAAATATATTATAAATGAAGCAAAGAAATGATAAGCAGCACTAGTTTAGTATAGCAAATGCACTTAAAGCATAAACGCCTAAAATGTGTTTATTAAAGAGTTATTTTATGATAAATATAAAAAATGCTGACATTTAATTTGTTACTTTTAAAGTTTTACCAGTTTTGTGAAATGCATCAAATGATGCATTTTTAATGTTGATTTTGAGTTCAATATGTTTTGTTTTGCTGATTATGTATTACTTGTATCTAGTTACAAAAATGTTAGGTACTGTAAAAATGCTCTTTTAAAAGTTGTGTTTACTGGTTCTAAAAACCCAACAACTGTTTCGCTGTAAAAGCTTGAGAAGTGCACGCCGTTAGATAATTATGTACATAAAGGAACCAAGCTGTTTGCCTGCTGACTGCAAAACGTTTTAAAGCAACGAAAATAAAATAATTTTACCTTGTGCTCTATTTCAAATGTTCTTCTGTGGCGAAACAACTGGGCAATCTGCGCGGAACCCAACACCAAAATTATTCACTGTTCCCCTAAATGTTTAAACTCAATTTTGTTCGAATTTATAATAACTAAATCACTTCGAATAAAAATGAAATGTTTCTCCGTTTTAAAAACTTATTTAGTTCATGAACGTAAGTAAATAACAGACTTCACCAGAACATGAACAAAATCCACAACAATCATCAGTGCCACGCTTCGCTGTCAAATTGCCATCCAAACCCAACCACCGCACAATCCATTCAAACAATAAATTGAATGATTCAGTAGATTATACCTCCATAAAATCCCACAAATTCAGCTGTTTGAAGTGAATCATTTTGCGTTATCCCCATTGATTCACGACTCAATTCGTCAGCCATCCATTCCCTTACTCAATATGTGTAAAATTGGCTTACCTTATCGGACCTTTTTCTTATTGTTGTATTGTTTTCGTAATTATTTGTACGTCTCCAAAAGATCTCAAAAAATCCTGAAAGCTTATGCGTATTCCCCCTCCATGCAACCATTTTGTTAGTATGATCTTTAGTTTTTTTCATTAAATAACTTCACTTAAATAATTTGGCTCTACTTTTTATAGGAGAATGCTGAGAACGGAGCATTGCGAAAGTTCTATGAAGTTATCATGGACAATGGAGGAGCAGTTTTGGACGACATCAACAGTCTGTCGGAAGTCACCATTTTGGCACCCAGCAATGAGGCTTGGAACTCGTCCAATATCAACAATGTTCTGCGGTAATATAAATAAAATTTAAATAAATGTATGTAATTTAACATTAAATTTTATTTTATTTTTTGCAGTGACCGCAACAAGATGAGGCAAATCCTGAACATGCACATCATTAAGGACCGCTTGAATGTGGATAAGATCAGGCAGAAGAATGCTAATTTGGTGTGTTTCTCTTTAACAAATTATTTAAATTCAATATTTTCTAATTAAAGCATTGTTACCAACAGATTGCTCAGGTGCCCACTGTCAACAACAGCACCTTCCTGTACTTCAATATCCGCGGTGAAGGATCGGATTCAGTGATCACAGTTGAGGGTGGTGGCGTTAATGCCACCGTTATCCAGGCTGATGTGGCCCAGACCAACGGCTTTGTGCACATTATCGATCATGTTTTGGGTGTGCCTTACACCACAGTTCTTGGCAAACTGGAGACCGATCCCATGATGAGGTAAGATTTGATTTTATAGCTCAAATGAAACCCAGTTTAAAATACTCTCTCTTTTCATAGCGACACATATAAGATGGGCCAGTTCTCGCACTTCAACGAACAGCTGAACAACACACAACGCCGATTCACCTACTTTGTGCCCAGGGACAAGGGATGGCAGAAGACCGAGCTGGATTACCCATCGGCTCACAAGAAGCTCTTCATGCAGGACTTTTCCTACCATGTAAGTTGGTTTGCCCAGGCTTTATCCCTTCGAGTACTCACATTTCAATGTAAATGCAGTCCAAGTCCATTCTGGAGCGTCATTTGGCCATTTCGGATAAGGAGTACACCATGAAGGACCTGGTCAAGTTTTCGCAGGAGTCGGGCAGCGTTGTCCTGCCCACTTTCCGCGACTCCCTGAGCATCCGCGTGGAGGAGGAGGCTGGACGTAAGTATAACCGCTTGGAAGGCAAGGGCTCAGCTGCTTCTCCTTTCAATTCAAGTCGATTCGATTCACATAAATCTGATTTGATTCTATTGGTCCCCCCTTTACCGTGCTGCATTACTAACCGAACCTGTTTTTCTACAACTATCGAACTAAATTTCTCGCTTTCTGCTTTACTAAATCTAATCGTTGTCCAATCGAAAGATCTCCATGATGAGTATGCTAGTCACGAATGGACTGGTGAGTGCTGTCGTTTGTCAAATCCACATCGCACCGCCCACAAAAAACCCGACCTGGCCGTTACCATGCCCAACCATAGCTCTCTCATTGGGCAAACCACTAGCATTAGTCACCCATCGATTGCATAAAATAAGCAACTTGTCCCTGACTGAATCTAATAACGATGTCTTTCCTTTGCAGGCTACGTGATCATCTGGAACTACAAGAAGATCAACGTGTACCGGCCCGATGTGGAGTGCACCAACGGAATCATCCACGTCATCGACTATCCGCTCCTGCAGGAGAGGGACGTGGTCGTGGCCGGAGGTAGCTATTTGCCAGAATCAAGCATTTGCATCATCTTGGCCAACCTCATAATGATAACAGTAGCAAAGTTCTTGAACTAAACGCATCCGATATGTAAAAACCAATACAATCCAAAGCAAATGCAAATCAAAACACAACAACTACAACCACAGTCGTCTACAGAACAAGAAACAAGAACACATTATGAATCAGACTAATGCGACATCCACACGGATGTAAATAATCAGCACTAGTTTGTTGATGCCGATCGAAAATCACAAGCAACCAAAACTGTATCTGTAATATATGCGTCACAAGGAACGATCATCATTCCAAACTGCCACGCCCATGCCACCCACATAACCACATATACACAGCCCCACAAAGAAAGACACGCATGCAGAAAACTGCCTGCAAATTTGCTTTAGCATCGACAGCTTTGCCCCAAAAAGAGCTGGCAAGAAAGGTTTTTGGATGTCGTAAAAAGAAGGAACCCCCTAATTTTAAGCATTAAACTTGACTCCCTTTCAACGGCCTTATGTATTATATGAAATATGAAACTCTCTGTAAAACATTTTAATTTTATGTTCAACCTATACTGGTAGCTTACGTTCATCAGCTCGCTAAGTTTTAAGTTTGGACCCACGTCGATCTGTCTGCAAGTGCATTGACAATTGTATCGCACCATGGAACATCCGATTGTGTTTTTGATTTTAAGTGTATATTTTTTGTGAATTGCTCGTTTTAGTTAATGGTCTAATTTATGATTTATGAAAAGAGTTATCTTAAGTAGAATGCGAATCTCATTGTACATGTCGAAGCAGAAGCAATAAGCGCATCACACACTCTCATACTCAAACGCCCACACATTCCCCTATCCATTAAAACATACGAACATGTAACGAAACAAAGTCATTGTAAGATTTGGAAAGTGTGAACAATTTTTATAATAAACTGAAAGTTTTCATTTAAACTTAACGATTAAGCCCGCCAGCCTTCTTGTCTCGAACCAAACCGAGTGGTCCCCCGTAGGCACAGAACTATATCAAAGTCGGACAAGAAATGTGCAAGCTAGCAACCAACAAACTCAATTATATTTAATGCCATCCCGCACTTAGTTATTAGCCCGCTATGCATGTGAATCCCCCAGATAAACACATACGCCACTGCAACTAGGTTAGTCCAATGTAAAACAAGTTTCGAAACTGCCGCCAACTACAAACTATACAAGCATACATACAATCCCTGTAATCTAAATCACTCACGGGACACAACTACATGTCATCACTGAATGGATTTTGATACCGATTTTAACTTGCATACGAAACCAAAACGAGAACAACCAGATGAGAAAGCGAACTAAATTTCCCCTCGCCCGAGCAGTTGCATTTTAAAACTTTGTATGTAGTTTAAAACTAGTTTTTAGTCCGACTTAGAAAAACCCAATCGCTAACTATATACCAACTCTCTTTCTATTTCTCTCTGTCTCTCCCCCTAATGCTATGTACTTATAGGTTAGACATTGTAACTAGCGTAACCAACCAAGACCGCGCGTTAAGTCGGGCAAAGAAACACTGAAATGTACTATCCCCCAAAGAAAACCAAGCGAACTTGCATTACTATCAGCCTACCAGTACACACTGTTCTCAACTTTCACCACCACCACCCACTTAGGAACTCAGTCGAAAACAAATCCAGTTGTGGCAGTCGCTATACGTAGTTGCTAATTCCCGATCCAATCGGACATTCCGGCAGTCTTATCTTTAGTAGGTGGTTTAGTTTCGTTTGGTGCAGTGCAGTGCCGTAGCAGCTAAGTAAAATGTATGAAATGAAATGAACACAAAAATGAATATAGAAATGAACACGTAGAAATGAATACGCTGATGAAATGTACACGTAAGCTTTAAGGAATCGCTGGGAGAGCGCGGATCGGAGATCGGAAATTGCAGTCGCAATTTGTGTCGTAGTCAGCCTTACTAAAGATAAACGCATTACCTTAACCTTTATACAAATTTACTCGAAACATACTTGTACCCAAACCATACGTTCCGCTTTGAAAGACATCCAGATATATAAGGAGGTACACCCAACAATACAAGTATAACTACAAATGATATTGCGCCACACGCTATTTACACCAAAATACACCAAAACAAATCGAGAAATGCATATTTTTCATATATTTAATTGTCAGAATAATATATACGTAGTTTATTTACTGTAAAACTCAAGAATCTCAGAAAAGGAAAATTTAAATCACATATATTGATGTATACTTAGCCATTGAGTTTCGAAGCAAGCGTTAGACACGGGAATATATGAATAAATCTATATACAATATGCGAAATCAAGCAAACTATGGAAAACTGCAGTGCAAAAGAATATTATTCCATTTTATTTTACGACAAGCGCTTTTTACAAATAAACCGAATCCATTTCAATTACTCGTAAAGGAACAGCAAGATTATATTTAGCGTTAGTTAAACTAATTAATACATGTACTAGAAAACCGAATGTCAACCGAGAATCTTCAGCAAGCTTGAGCGAATAATTAAACTTTAAAACTAACTATAAATAAATTGAGATGTTGTTTTTCTTGAGTGCTTTGTGGCCGCCAACATTGAAAACAAACAGTGGGGTTGTGGGGCGGTGGATGTTTTAAAAATTTCTAATTGGTACAATGTACTCTAATTAAAACACCAGGTGTCTGAGCAACTTTATTAATAGCTCAAGTTTCCCCTTTGTCTCTGTCCTCATCTAATGTTTTTTTTTCAGAATGTTCTAGTAAACCGTCAAAGTTCCCAGGCCTACCAGCCAGAAAAGTGTTTGTTAATTAAAAGTTTGAGATTTGAAATAACAAAAGTGTTTTATGCACCCCTCATCGAAATGTCCTTTTTGAAAACAAAATACTAAATTTATTTCAGAAGGCATATGGTATTATTTAGTACCATTTCGCTTTCAAACGTCATTTTGCTTAGTATTGCTCTCACTTTTCTATCTGGCAACACTTCCAGCGGTGTTTTCTGGGCTACAGAGCGTTTTTTCGGAACATTTTTTTTCAATGGAAGGTACCGCTAAGTTTGCTAAGAGCTCGCCGTTGCCACAGCGCCAGCAAAGGGGCAATCTAGCCAATAAGAACCTCGGCAAGGTAGCCGCCCCAAAGCCAAACGCCGCCGGCGATGGCAGTCCTGCAGAGAAAAAACCACGGTTTGGGCCGAACACCCAGAACGGAGGAGGAGTAGCCGGTGGTGGTACAGGCGGTGGTGGTGCAGGAGCCGGAGGCGGAAATGGTGGTGGAGGTGGCCGTGGCGGCTTTGCCGGGAATCGCAATCGAGGAGGCAACCAGAACCGCCAGAGTTTCCAAGGTGCTAATAATGCGAACAATCAAAAGCAGTCTAACGAATCGCCAAAGTCGGCTTCAAATGTGCCCTCAAAGAACAATGAGCCCGCAGCTGGCAATCAAAACCAGCAGAACCAGAACGCCAACCCCGGAGGACAGGGCAATCAAGGACGTGGCGGTGGCCAAAACCATCAGAATCAAAATGCCAACCAGGGTAACCAGGGTGACCAAGGCAGTCCGGCCAATCAGGGAAACCAAGCAGGCCAGGGTAGTCAAGGTGGACCAGGATTTAGAGGACGAGGTGGCAATCAGAATCAGCAAAATCAGAATGCTAACCACGAAGAGCAAGGAGGTCCAGGCAATCAAGGAAACCAGGGAGGCCAAGGTGGCCAGGGCTCTAGAGGTCGCGGCGGAAACCAAAACCAGAACAACCAGTTTGGCAACCAGGGCCAAGGACCAAATCAGAGAGGTCCAGGCAATCAAGGCAACCAAGGAGGGCCGGGCTTCCGTGGACAAGGCGGTGGCCACAACCAATCCGGAGGCGGTGGAGGTGGAGGCGCCGGAGGAGGAGGACCGCAGCATAATCGTTCGGGTCGCGGCAATCGCTCTGGAGGGCAGGGAGGCATGAACAACAGCATGATGGGCTCCGGAGGCCAGCGTGGCGGTGAAGATTTCTTTATTGCCCAGCGTCTGCGCAGCATTGGCGGACCAACTCTTGAACTACCACCCATTGAGGTGCCCACCGAAACAAAGTTCTCCGGCCGCAACCGTCTGTATGTGGGTAACCTGACCGGAGACATCACCGATGACGAGCTGCGTGAGATGTTTAAGCCATATGGCGAGATCGGTGAAATATTCTCGAACGTGGACAAGAATTTTACATTCCTTAAGGTTGACTACCACCAAAATGCCGAGAAGGCCAAGCGCGCCTTGGACGGCTCAATGCGCAAGGGTCGCCAGCTGCGCGTCCGCTTTGCGCCCAACGCAACCATTCTGCGCGTCAGCAATCTCAGTCAGTTTGTGTCCAACGAGCTGCTGTATCAGTCCTTTGAGATCTTTGGTCCCATCGAGCGGGCCAGCATCACCGTGGATGACCGCGGCAAGCACACCGGCGAGGGCATCGTGGAGTTCGCCAAGAAGTCCTCGGCCAGCGCCTGCCTCCGCCTGTGCACCGAAAAGTGCTTCTTTCTGACTGCCTCACTGCGTCCGTGTCTGGTGGAGCCGATGGAGGTGAACGACGACACTGACGGCCTGCCGGAGAAGGCGCTGAACAAAAAGATGCCGGACTTCTGCCAAGAGCGCAGCATTGGACCGCGCTTCGCCGACATGAACTCGTTCGAGCACGAGTATGGATCTCGCTGGAAGCAGCTGCACGGACTGTTCAAGAGCAAGCAAGATGCCCTTAAGCGCGAGCTGAAAATGGAGGAGGACAAGCTGGAGGCCCAGATGGAGTATGCTCGCTACGAGCAGGAGACCGAGCTGCTGCGCCAGGAGCTGAGGAAGCGCGAGGTGGACAATGAGCGCAAGAAACTGGAGTGGGAGATGCGCGAGAAGCAGGCTGAGGAGATGCGTAAGCGCGATGAGGAGAACATGCGTCGCCACCAGGGCGAGATGCTTCGCCAGGAGGAGGACATGCGCCGTTATCAGCAGGAGACCACCCTGCTGATGCAGGCCCAGCAGCTCAACTCGCTGCTCGACCAGCAGGAGGGATTCGGAGGTGGCAGCAACTCGGGCTTCGACTTTGGCAACGACTCGCCTTTCGAAGTTTTTAGGAACAACACTAGCAACAACTCCACCATGGTGGGAAACAATTCTGGCCCTGGAGGTCAGGACAAAGTGGACTCCTTCGAATTCGGAGCCGGCGGAAATCAGCGCAGCAGCAGTGCCGGTGGGAACAATGCCCCATGGGGCCGCCGCCGCTTTTAGACACCGAAACCACTAAACGTAGTGATAAAACATAACGTAATCTCATTGATTACGCTTCATATTTGACCTTTTGCTCGTTCCACGAGTGATCAACGGGAAACAGCAACACAATGGGATCTTGTAAACGCATACACCTACATTAACAATATCATTTGATTATATATTTTGAGATAAATATGATAATCATCTGTCGGTCTCAACAAGGAATCCACCATGAAGTAATGATAAGGAAAGGACAAAAACCTTAAGAAACACAAAATCCAAATCCAAAAAACCAAGCTTACAAGATGTGCAGTATTGCAACAATACCAATTAAAAAATTCCATTCATCTTTTAACCATTACCTACATCTATTTAATCATAACGATAATTTTAGATATGTGTAGTGACTATCTCCAGTAAAATGATTACTTTTGTCTATCATTCAAATTAAATATATGAAGATATGACTGAAATTATTATATATATCTCTTGGAGAATTTAGAAAAGGGGTGTAGCAGCGTACTTTTAAACCAAGAATAGGGGAATTTCGCATTGAATGTTTGCATATGTCATATACCTCAGTGTGTTTTTACCTATGTATATCTACATATTCCTACTGAATTATTTTTAATAAAAATGGATCTGATACTTAATATACTTTCTGTCTTTTAAATACTTAGAAGTATTGTTGTAATTGAAGCTTGGGAGTATGTATAGTAATCTTAAAATATATCATAAAAAACCATTTAGGGGGGAAAAAAGAGAAGGACAATAACAAAATCTCCAACTCTGCTTGTATCTTTAATACCATCGCCAGGGGATGTTCATATATTACGTCAACTTGTAATCAATTGTTCAAACAAAAACACCAATTTGGTCCACATCGGTAATAGTAATCATTTCTTTGACTCCCTCATCTTCCCCCAGCTAAATGTTGTGTAATTGAATGGCAACCAATCATTGTTAGCAGAAATCAATGCGGACTTAATGTGCTGAAAATCTCTACATATTTTAATTTCGATAAATAAATTGAACCTCATTGTTACTCTGGGCACGTCTGACAGTTGCCTCTTTTTACGATAAGATGATTCCAATTATTTTAAATAAAAGATTCAAAAAATGTTGCATATAATGCACGTTTTTAGATAAGTAATTCCATAGGATGCTTTTGTTTCTTTTGAATGCTTTCTAAATTTCGGTTATTATACGTACATATATTCTTTTACTTCATGAGCTATAAAAGCTTATTTTTATACATATTTCGATTTTTGATTTGTTATATTAAATTTAATTATGTTAATTATTATCGTCTTAATCTAAGTAATTTTTAAATAGGCTGTTTGTGAAAACGGAATATCTTTTAATTTGGCTTTGAAAAGTAAAGCGCCAAAATATTTAAAGCAACCCCTAAGCAAACGATGTTTTATTGCATAAAAGTACACCCACCCCTAATATAGCCTTTTAACGGTGAGCAAGGTCACACTAAAGTTTTGGCGTTGGCTTAAAAAAAACACCTAGGAAAATTGATTTTTCGCTCAAACGGAAAGCAACACCTTTGACTTCAATTACATTTCTCGGAATCGAGCTCCGACTGGCGGATTTATAGAGACAAAGAAAAGTCAAGATGACAGCATCACAGGTTGACCAGGTGAGCAAAGGACATATTCAGCGAGAGCTTCCGGCCGGAAAACGGCGTCGCCATTGTGCGGAAAACAGAATTATAATTGGACGTTTTTCCCTGCAGAAACGTGCTCTCAACAAGTTGAAGCACGACTTGGAGCCCTTCCGGACAGCCATCGTGGGAGCGTACGGCGTGCTCACTTGGGAGAAGCAATACTACGCAGGAGTGGTCTTCGGCGTCATCAGTGTCCTGTACTTGGTGCTCTGGTACCTGGACCTTTCGCTGATCACCCTGCTGTCGCTCCTTGGACTGATCAGCATCCTACTGGACTATGTGTTCCCCACAGTGTCGCGCTTGCTCTTCGGCAGCGTCAACTGGGACGGTGACCAGGAGGCCAAGTTCGAAGACGTTTGCGGCCAGGTCTGTGCCGTTAAGGGAAATTTTGTGCTCTGGTATGAGTACCTTTTCAAGGAGCGGAAGTCCACAGTGGTAAGCGTTTTTAGGGAAATAAATTTTTTTTAAAAGCTTATTCACTTTTTTTAAATTAATATCAATAGCATATTTCCTGCATTAATTGCTGTGTTCAATGTCGTTTTTTGTCCATCAAAACATTGTTAATCATTTTAAATATTTTACAAATAAATGTAAAGTATATACTTATTATTAAATGAAATCACTCTCTCTACATTTTTGCAGTTCGTGATCATCTTCAGCCTGGGACTCTTGGCTCTCGCCTGGATTGGAGCTATTATCAACAATCTTCTGCTGATGTATTTTGTAACCCTGCTCATGGCCATGTGGCCGGGGCTGCAGGACAAGGATGTCTTCAAGGCCGTTACCCAGAAGGCCTCGAAGATCATTAACGAGAAAATCCAATGCGGCAAGAGGAAGCTGCAGTAAAGGGAATCTCTTCACAGGAACAGCAAGATAAACTCATCACCATTTGACCAAAAATATTTAACAAGCCTAAGTCATCTACTTGCCATCATGCACACATCGCAACTGTCACTAAATACACCCTCGATCATTGATCTTCAACTAATGAATATCATAAAAGATAAGTGAATCAGCATATTGAAAGTATTCTCAACGGATAACTAGCAAATCCCGTCGTGGTCTTCGCCCCATCACATCTACTATAAGTTTGTAACATGTAAGAGCGAAGAAACTCAAAGCGAGGCGTACGGAGAGAGAAAAAGAACGCGCAACAAAAGACAAGACATTTTTGTGATTATTTTGTGAGTTAATTGAAATTTATGATAATCCCGAGTAAGATACAAAAGAACTTAAGCTTCTCATGAACTATATTTAAATAAACATTTCAATTGAATAGATCAAATGCAACGTCGGTCTCATCTATCTGCCTCTTCCTCTTGATCTGGAGCGAGTGCGGGATCTGACGTGCTTGCTCTTCTTTGTCTTCTTTTTGTGCTTACTTGAGTGTCGGCGGTGGTCGTCATCCTGGCTATCGTCACTGTCTTCGCTGGAATCGTTGTCCGCCCGCTTCGATTTACTTTTAGACTTTTTGGAGTGCTTTCTTGACTTTCGGCTGGATGATTTTTTCTTGTGTTTTCTGCGCTCGTAAGCCGAGTCCGAATCGCTCTCCGTGGACTCTCCCGTGTCGTCTGCTTCGTCTGAACTGCTTTTCGCTCTTCTGCTGCTCTTGGGACTTTGCGAACGCCGACGATCACGCTCCTCACGCTTAGATATGGAAGAGCTGTTACTCCTGGGACTAGGCGAGCGATACCGACTACGTTCTTCGCGCCTAGAGGTCGAGGAGCTATTGCTTTGCGAGTCCTGCACATACTTCTTTCTGTCACGATCTTCCACTTTACGGGAATTGGACTCTTCTTTGTAATTTCTGTCGCTGCGGTGCTCTGTTTTGTATGCTTTTCGGTCATCTTCCTTATACGGTCTGCGATCTTCATCCTTATAAGCTTTTTTATCCTCATCCTTGTAGGATCTTTTCTCATCATATTTGTACGACTTTTTGTCTTCATCCTTGTAAGTTTTCTTATCGTATGACCTATTATCTTCATTTTTGTATCTCCGTCGATCGTCTTCTTTGTTTGATCTGTGTTCTTCCGATTTAATGTTCTTACGATCTCTTTCAGCGTCCCGACGTGAGTTACTTTCGTCTTTTCGGTCACTGTTCTTCCTATCTGGTGATTTTTCCTGCTTCACAATAATTTGTCCATGCTCATTTTCCTGTTTTTTGAATTCTTCGTACTTGGCAGAGTCTAAAAAATACTTATAGTGAATTCGAAGGAAACTTTTTACTTCTTACTTACTTATGCATTTTCCGTACTGTGCGTACTCCTTTCGGGATACTGGTTGACAAAGGAACTCGTTGAACGCCTCCTTGGCACCTCCAATGGCCATTTTGACAATAACTCTCCCTGCATGGTCGTCAAAGCCTTCGATTTGCCCGTACTGATCCTTCTGCTTTCCGCCCAAGATGCGGACGTAGGCCTGCTTCTTGATTTCCAGTACCTCGTTCTTTTCTGGTTGGACCAGCAGAGCTTTCGGTTTTAACGCCTTGTCAGCTCCCAGACCCATTCCCTTGGGTCGCAGAAAGGGAGCATCGTCAATGGGACCGGAACCCTTCTTCTTGGGCGGCGGGTCCACCCAACCCATACCGCGCAGCATGGCTAAGCCAAATTGCTGGATAGGTATATTGTCGTAGTCGTCGAGAGTTGCCTCCTTGGCGCCATCAAGAGGTAGTTCGTCTGCTTTGACAGCAGGCAGAACAAGTTTTTGACCATCTAACCCCTCGTCACCATTTTTTTGGCTGGCGGCTAACAACTCCCGAGCGGCACGTTGCTCCAGGCTTTCCGTTCCACATCCTGCAGTTACCTCTGCTATGGACTGGGCCGCTGGTGTCACCTCCTCTGGATCTGGTTCCTCCTCACCAAGCAGGACCGCACGTCGCTTCATCAAACTCGCAAGGGCGGATGAAGTCTTCTGGCTGCCCTGCATTTCAATGACCAGCGGGGCGGCTTCTACCTTTTCCCTGGAAAAAGATTTTGATAATACACGAATTTAAGGATAAAATACAATTCCATCTTACGCCACCAGCTTGATTTCCTTGCCTTCCAAACATTTTATCAACTCCACTTTATTTTCTTCTTTGGGTTGTTTGCTGGGCAGAATGCTCGGTTTCTTGGCCAACTTACTGAACCCAAAAGATATCTTTTTGGTGTCCATGGCTTTAGCCAAAAGTAATTTGACCTTATAAATCAGTTATTATTTATTTTGTGGTGAAATATGGAATATGCCGACCGGAATCGTTTGTAAACAAAACGCAACAGCTGTTTTGCGGATGCTTTGGGTTTGCTATCGATAACGAAAATTAAAATCAATGAAATGTTAGTGGCCACATGATAAATGTAATTACAATGTGTATATGTATGTATAATTATAATTATTGTATAAAAATTATAAACAAAGTCAATATACTAAAAAAATGTATAAAAGCTTCTAGGTAACAACTTCTTGAAATCGATTAAAAAATCCATTAAGTGTGAACATACTGTTTCTACATATCGATACTTTAAAGAGCTGCTGCTTTGAATTGTGAAGAATTTGAATTAAACTTTTAAAATATTAAGGAAATTAACAAAAAGAGGGTGATAGATTGTTATAAATTATCAGCAGCAAGGACCAAAAATAGCAACAAAGTCGCTTGGAGTAGTTCTTTATCGAACCTTCTCGAACAGTGTGTCATCGGAGGGTCTAACCTCACTCATTCTCTTTTGAAAAAGCGGCAGCGCCAGCACGAGTTCAATTGTTTTCACGGAGAAATAAATTAAGTAGCCAGAAACATGTTCGGTGGACAGCAGCCAATACTCGTGTTGAGTGAGTATGAAATTTACACCTCAGGGAACCCAATTGCAATCGAATTATTTGCCGGCAGGTCAAAACACAAAGAGAGAATCGGGCCGCAAAGTGCAGTTGGAGAACATCCAAGCCGGAAAGGTATGACTCACATGTCTGGGATTTGGGAATAGGTTGTCCATCATTTTCTAGGCCATCTGCTGACTGAAACCCATTTTTCAGGCCATCGCCGATGTGATACGCACCTGTCTGGGGCCTCAGGCCATGCTGAAGATGCTGATGGACCCCATGGGCGGCATCGTGATGACCAACGACGGTAACGCCATTCTGCGTGAGATCACTGTGCAGCATCCGGCGGCCAAGAGCATGATTGAGATCGCCCGCACACAGGACGAGGAGGTGGGCGACGGTACCACGTCGGTCATTGTCCTGGCCGGCGAGATGCTGGCCGCTGCCGAGCCCTTCCTCCAGCAGCAGATCCACCCCACCGTGATCATCCGCGCTTACCGCGAGGCCCTTGAAGACATTGTCGGTCACCTGCAGTCGCAATTGAGCGTCCAGCTGGACGTTAAGGACAAAGCCAAGATGGCCGAAGTGGTGAAGGCTTGCGTCGGCACCAAGTTCATCGGCAAATGGTCGGACCTGGCTGTCAAGATCGCCCTTGATGCCGTGGAGACAGTTACGCTTAGCGAGAACGGACGTCTGGAAGTGGACATCAAGCGGTAAGACCAGGGGTTCCAATAGCCCTACATGTAAACGGGCTTAACAGATTTCTGAAGCACTTTTTAAATTAATTTTGGTTGAGGTTTTTGTAATTAAATGTATTAATTTTCTAGCTACGCCAAGGTGGAGAAGATTCCCGGCGGTGCCATCGAGGAGTCGTGCGTTCTTAAGGGTGTGATGATCAATAAGGACGTGACGCACGCCAAGATGCGTCGCCGCATCGAGAATCCCCGTATCGTGTTGCTCGACTGCTCGCTGGAGTACAAGAAGGGCGAGAGCCAGACCAACGTTGAGATCATCGGGGAGCAGGACTTCACCCGCATGCTGCAAATCGAGGAGGAGTTTGTGCAGCGCATTTGCGCCGACATCATCGCCGTAAAGCCGGATCTGGTCTTTACCGAGAAGGGTGTTTCCGATCTGGCCCAGCACTATCTGCTGAAGGCTGGCATCACTGCCATCCGCCGGCTGCGCAAGACCGACAATCTGCGTATTGCCCGCGCATGCGGTGCCACCATTGTTAACCGCACTGAGGAGCTGACCGAGAAGGATGTGGGCACGGGAGCTGGCCTGTTCGAGATTAAGAAGATCGGCGATGAGTACTTCACTTTTGTGACTGAGTGCAAGGAGCCAAAGGCCTGCACCATCCTGCTGCGTGGCGCCAGCAAGGACATCCTGAACGAGACGGAGCGCAACCTGCAGGACGCTCTTCACGTGGCCCGCAACTTGGTGTTGGAGCCGCGTCTGGTGGCCGGTGGTGGCGCCGTGGAGATGGCCGCCTCCCAGCTGCTGACGCGCAAGCAGGTCAAGGGACCCTACACCGCGGTGGCCCACGCCCTGGAGATCATCCCGCGCACGCTGGCCCAGAACTGCGGCGCCAACACGATCCGTGCCCTGACCGCGCTGCGTGCCAAACACGCTTCCCACACCGGCGATAGCGTTTGCGCCTGGGGAATCGACGGCGAGTCCGGCGAGATCGTTGACATGAACGTGAAGAACATCTGGGAGCCGTTGGCCGTGAAGCTGCAGACCTACAAGACCGCCGTGGAGACGGCCATCCTGCTGCTGCGCATCGACGATATCGTCTCGGGTTCCAAGAAGCGCGGCGGCAACGAGCCGACCAACCCGGCTGCCATGGCCCAGGGTCAGGAGTAGTAGCCTGCGATTAACCACGTGTATTAATAATGCTTACTATCCTCTAATACTTAATTTAACACACAAACGAAAACAAAAAACACAAAATCCCACACACGCCACCCCAAATGTATAACATTTAGTTTGGGTCCAGGGGATGTTGGCTTCTCTGGAAGGAGGAAATGCATCCGAGGGCCTCCTACACACAAATTCTGCTGCATTTGCTCTCATTAACAGTACACAAATAAAATTGTTAAAACTCATAACTACTTTGTTTTTCTTACTATCTTACTGTGAAAATGATATGTTTAGAAAATAAACTATGTGAGTTAATTTTATCTTTTCAAAAAATGTTGAGTTTTTATTTACAATTTATACCATTTACAAATTACATGTTTTATATTTTTTATTTGGTCGAATTCAGTTTGTTTTATTAATTCATTTAATTTTTGCTTTAACAACATCAACATCATGAATAACTTCAACTTATTATTCAAATGAACATATTTAATACATTGATATTAGGTTTCTTTTATATCCACTTCATAGAGCCTTTCGTCCATTAATTTAAGCACCTCTAATCCAATGGAAGTGAAATGTGGCTGGAGGTATCGGGCGAACAGCTCCAGGCAATTCGGATCCTCTTGATCTTTGTCCAGCTCCACGTGATCTTTAAGCCACGACAGTAGGGGTGGCTTGTGGGAGTGCACAATGCTGGGCACGCTGAGAAGAAGCTCGGTCTTCTGGATATCCTTCCCGTAATCTTCACGAGCATCCAAGCGACAGGCTATGTAAAGAATCTCGTAAGGCTGTTTCTGTGTGAGATCTGCCAGTGGAGCGGCAATCAGTTGGTGATCCGTACTGAGTTTGTACCATCGGAGCTTGTGGACCAGTCGGAGGTTCCAGCTGGGCAGTAGCTGCTGCTCCAGGGCCACCTGATGCTGCACTGAATTGGTGCACCAGATAACCACCAAGGATCGCGGATGGGTGAGCCTGGAGAGCGGAATGTGCGACAGTTGGTCGTTGGTCAGCATGGAATAGCCCAGCTCCTGTTTGGCGCGTTTTAGTCGGCGGATGTACTTATTCCTCCACGGAGGATCCAATACGATGAGATCGTAGGCGGGCAGAAGTTGGTGCAACAGAGCTGGCAGATTGTCCACATTGTGGTTGAAGAACCGGCATCGATCGGGAATTAAGTATACGCTGCGTAGTTCATCTTGACCCTGGAACCTCTGCATCCGCCCGCTTTCGTTGGCTCCATGGAGTTGGGGCACGCTATAGGCATCCTCCCAGTGCCTGGCTATTGGTGGAGTCACCTCCGTTTCAAGGGGCTTGCCCAGAAGCTCCAGGTAATCATTTACCAACTGAATATCTTTTAGTGACGACTGGTCTCCTTTGCCGGCTTTTCTCTTCCGTTTCTTTGAATGCTTTTCCTCATCTTCTTGGTGTGTTTTCTTAACTTTAAACTGGAAGAGCGCAGACTTGAGTTTACATTCGCCATATTCCTCGTTTATTAATTTTCTGTGGTCCAAGAAAATAGCAAATTTGATATCTTCCGTTTTCTTTTGCAATTTCAACATTTCCCAGATTTATAATTCTTGGGCTAAAAAATCATCCCTGCATTTATCGATAGTATTTTGGGCGGTAAAATTTGAAGTTAAATAAAAAAATTATATTCTCCCATAAGTTAGTTTTGATAGTAACACGTTAGTTATCACAGCGAAACTATTAATTGTTGTTTTGACTCGATTTTTTCAGAGCACCAATATTTAAAAGTATAATTCAAAGTTGCTGAAACAATCACAAAAAAAACCCATGATTTTTTTTGTTTAAATCGAAGTAATCCTTTATGTGGACCAACAATTCCGCATGAAGTTTGCGATGACCTCGACGATTATAATAATTCAGCTCCTCAGTGGTGTTTTCTGCTACAAATCTCAGCATTGTTAGTGTGCCAAGTTCATATTTGCATCGTAGTGGATTATATTTTTGGGCTCCTTGCAGGACAAAAAAGGCGGGTGTAGACTCGACGGCGAACTTTTTGGGTGCATCAACTCCATTTAAGTCCATCTTGTACAGATGCACCGATTCCTGTTTTAGTTTATCGGCCAGTCGTTCCAGATTTGTCATAAGGTTTTTATTGATATCCGTTCCATTCTGGAGGGAGTTGTAGAAGCACAGGGCTATATCTTCATCGGAAGAGTATATAATTTCGTTCCAGTTAGCCAAGTTGATATCCTCCACCTTGGTTTCTCTCGTCTTGGGTTCCTCTAACTTTCCCTTTATCAACTGCTCGCAAAAATCCCTAAGACTTTCCAAATCGGGCGATTTCGGGCCACTAAAATCGCCAAAAAAGAACACCTTACCCTTGGCATTAACTGCATAAATCAGAGGAGCTGATTCCACGGTGCAACCTTCGTCACTACGAAAAAAGGTGAAATCCTCCTCATTGAAGATATATGACTGCCACAAATCGTCCGCGTAGAAATCCATATGTTGGCCCAAATCCTCTGGAGCTGCCAGTTGATAAGCCATGTGCATCCACTTCCGCAGAGCTCCAAAATCATCGGCAAACACATGGAGCATTATAAGTGTCGGTCGCTTGTGGACTTCCCAAGATCTTCGCATTTTCCCAAAGTTCGGGAGACGCTGCAGACGATCTTTGTATTCGTCCGGAAAAAAGGTTTTGAAATTGGGAGGAGGCGGGTTGTAGCCACAGTAATTTCGCGACATGTTTACAGAATTTGTTTGCACCTGCAACTGAAATTAGCCGGCTGTTGACTCATCACATTAGTCATTATTTTTGCTTATCTACACGGTGGTTTCGTTTAGAAAATATCGATAGAATTGAAAAAATCGATTTAAACCGTTAAGCTTTTGCCATACAAAAAACTTTTAGGGGCTCACATATGTAGAACAAAACATCTGGAGCATGTTAACAAGTCTTCAAATTTAAAGAACATTGCAATTTTTTAATAAGTTTATAAATATATTTTTTTTGTTTGAGTTTTACAAAAATTCAACGATTCGAAGTACAAGCAATGACTTTCGTCGGAAATACCTCAACTCAGTATAACGAATCCGTTACCAAGCAACCTGCCATCAGCAACGCTGTTTACTTTCAAAATCAATTGCGAATCATAAGATTTGCAAACTCCGTATTCACATCTTAATAAGTTAACTGAGAACCATGGCTGACTTAAGTGAACTTGACCAATTGGCCACTGCAGAGCTGCTAAGACTTCAGCGGCAACATCGGGGTCTCCAACTGGATCTTCGGGGTCTTCTCGAGGAGAAGGCAAAGCGTTTGAAGAAGCAGAACCACATGATTAACGTACTGCAAGTGGAACACCAGAAGCTAAAGGAGGAGATCAAGACCCTCGAGGGCGGAACTCATGCCCGAAAGAATACCAATGTAGGTTGCTATTTGAATCTATTAACTATTTTATTAAGTTGATTGCCACTTTTGCAGAGGGAGAAGCACCTGGGAACATTGCAAGGGCATCAGGCCGACCTCCAAAGAGTACTCCAAAATGAACGGACCAATCTTTGGGAGCTGGAAGGACACATCCGGAAAATGGAGAAGGAAATCGATGCCTTAAGACGCAATGAGGTGCCAGATAACTGCTACAAGGACACCATTTGCAAGGTCCAGAAAAGCGTGGTCAAGTTGGAGAATCGCTTGGATGTGGTTAACAAAAAATGTAGTGATGTTCTGACAGAGAACAGCAAGATGAGGGATGCCATTAATCACATGCTGCAGGATAGGTAAAAAGTAGTCTAAAAGAAAAAAATTTGGGTCACCAATTGTTATTTATATTATGATTTCTTACATGAAAACAATTGAAAGCAATTATCATAATGTATATTGTGATTGTATTATTATGATTATTGCTTTGGTTGAGTTCTTTTATTCAGTTGTGGATTATTTTTAACAAATCCTAATACCGATGTGAAGTACTCAATTCAATTTCCGACCTCTATGGCCGCCAATCCAGGGCAAACTTCAATGACATGTGGCAGTCGATGGTCACCCAGTTCAACGAGGGCAAGAAGTTCATCATGGACCTAATCGATCAGTCCACCCTGGCCTTTGATCAGCGGGAAGAGCTGTGCAACAAGTTGTCGGTGCTGAAGGATCGCAATGAGAACGACAAGGTGATGCACATCCAAGAGATGCGGGAAATGCAACGACGACTGGAGCACGATGCCAAGTTGCAGAAGTTCTTCGACATTAAGGGTCAGAAGAGATTGAATCCTGAACTGGAGCAGCGGGAGCTGGACAAGAAGCAGAGCCAGAAGGAGAACTACGAGCGGCAGCTCCTCGAATACAAGGACATCATCGAGAAGATCAAGTTGCTCTACGGCGAGGAGGATGCCGATCGACTGGTGGCTCAATTCAAGCGGCAGGAGGACGAGAACTTTGCCCTCTTTAACTATGTGAACGAATTGAGTCACGAGGTGGAGGTCCTGAATGATTCCACGCAGGAACTCCAGGATGAAATAGGTGGGTAAACAAATTTCACCGATTTATTTGGTTTCATTAAAGGTATATCAATCGAAATCATAACATAAAACTCTCCACAGAACGTCAAAAATCAGAGCAAACCGAAAAGGAGTTAAAGCTAAAGACAGAAGCTCTGGATTATCTGAATGCTGAAAAGGAGAGAATTGAGCAACTGGCTGAGGAAACCAGAGAAAAGAAGCGGACTCTTATTATTAGACTGGAACAGCTTCTTAAGGGCATCGAGGATATATTCAGGTGCGAATCTCTAAAATTTTATTATACTTATAGCTAACTGAAAATTATTTAAAGACAACTGGCCTGTGATGATGCCCCCATTCTAAATGTTCTGAGCACTAAGACCTTCTTGACGGTCCACAATGTGAAGCTTTTCATTGGCGTTATTGAACGACGGGTCAACCTGATCATCGGCGCCATTAATATCGAGGATAACTCAAACAAAATACTAGCCAGAAAAGACAGAGTTCCCAAATTCAATATACGGGAATCGGCCAAGACTAAAAATTAAGGCTGGAAATTGTCTAACGTTCTTGAAAAAAAATTAATACAATTTTTAAAGCGAATTGCTTTGACACTAATCGTAAACTATAACCAATATGTCTTCAATAATGTATGGACTCATTACTCATCAAATTAAATAAATGTACTCATCTAATATATTCATAAAGTGTATTTTAAATTTAAGCTCATTACAAACACTCTTAAAACTGTAAGCGTGATGTGGTCAAATCATGTTTTAAATTACTAATAAGGAAAGTTACATCGCTTACAAAATCTGCCCTTCTTGGGATCAATTTAATTCGATATTTAATGTTTCCGTAATCAAACAATTATGGCCGGCGGAACTCTGCACTTAAATCTATTCTAATCACATTGAGCTTAACTATTCTGGAAACTCATGCCCTGGTATCTTCGCTTCTATGGATCGCCTTCTGGATGAGGTCCTGGAACCATTGGATGTTGGACATCACAGTGAGGCTGTGGGCGCACTGATCCGCATTGGGAGCATTGCTGATCACCCCCAAGAGAAAGTGGCGATCGGTGTTCCGGACGTTGATCGGCAGGTCGGCGGAGGTGAATCCACCACCACTGTCGCCCTGGCAGGCCAACGATTTTCCCTGGGTGAAGATGCAGAACTTGTCGGCCTGAATGTCTGCCAGATTTTTCCGGCACTCCGCGTGCGATTTGGAAAGCGCCGGCACAAACTGCAACTCGTGCTTATTCTCGATGCTCCAGCCGGCGAACTTTCCCTGCGTTCCATTCGTTACTGCCTCCTTATCCGCATATTCATAGAAGTCCACGCAAATGGGACGGATCACGTGGCTCAGCTCGAAGGGCTCGTCGAGGGTGAGCAGCGCCAGATCGCGGTAATAGTTCTCCGTCCTGCCTTTGTAGCCACTGTGGGAGATCAATTTCTTATTTACTTTATGCATTATGCATGATTTAATTGGGTATAATTGAAACGGAAACTAAGCTATGGTGATTCTGGTGAAAGTTTCACATTTAAAAGTTATCTAAGAGAGATTTTCTTCCTTTAATAACACTGTAAATTGCAATTGATGTATAACTTGGTTGAAAAATATTTCCCGGAAACGATTTTAATTATTCAAAACTAAATCACTCTCGACTCAATTCTTGAATAAATTAATTATAAGTACATCAATTCTTAAAAACTAGTTGCTATCTCTATATTGTCTCCATACTTACGGGTCTATTTCGATGAGCCTCACATCCCGTCGCTTGTCATCCGGCGTGATGTCTCCGTAGTTGCGGTAGAACTTGGCTGCGATCACCCGGAAAGTGTCGTAGCTGTAGGGCAGTCGGGTGCCCTCGTCGTAAACGCAATGGGCGGCGGTTATCACAAGATCGGGAGTAACCAAGGATCCTCCGCACTGGAAGTGGTAGTCCTTCTCGTTGTGCCAAACGTACCTTAAAACCAATCAAATAACATTTACAAATCCAGAAGGTAAGTGGAAAGTATGTAGGTAGACTTACAGTCCGACGTGCCAGGGAACCACCGTGTTGTTAATGGTGTAACCATTGGCCGAGAAGCTCTTTATGGGCGTGGCTATCTGGCCACAGTCCTGCTCGCACCGCTGGCGTACCCTGTTCCAATAGCCGCCCTTCATGCACTTCATATCCGGCAGACGGCTGCGGGTCTTGAATCCTGTGGCACAGACGAATTTCACCTCGGTTCCTGGAGGATGGAATGGCTTCCTGCAGTCCACCTCCTGACCGTTGTGGGTGCACAGTGCCTTGGTGGAGTAGCCTTCGAACTCGCCAGCAGAGGTGCAGTATTCTACGGAAAATAGAGTATGAAAAAGGATTCCCAGGAAGCTGATACTGAAATACTCACTCACGCATTTCGGAATCGTGTTCGTGCTCCACTTGTTCTTGGCGCAATAACTTGACTCCTCACCCTCGAGGACAAAGCCCTGTTTGCAGGAGAAGCGCACAGTTCCCCGGGTGATGGGACCGTTAAGGATGCGGTTGCCATTGCCCGTCAAGATGGGTCTCTCATCGCCAATGGGCAGGGGGCAGCCCTGATGTTCTAGCGGAGTCTCCACTGGCACGGGAGTCGTTACCTTCTTGGTGGTGTTGCACAGCAGGGGAGCCTCGTCGGAGCCATCGAAGCAGTCGTTCTTGCCGTCGCACGACAGCGATCCCGAGATGCAGCCACCTGTGCCGCACCTGAAGGAGTATGCCGGACACTCCATGTGGCCACACAGCTCCACCGACTCGTCGAATCCCGTGCCATCCGCACAGTCGTCCTTGCCGTCGCACAGGAAGTTGCCTTTATCCAGGCAGATTCCCGAGGGGCACTTGAATTCGTTGTCTCTAAAAATATTTAAAGAAAATCGTTAAATATTGAATTTTTGAATACGTTAATGGCTTACCAAACACATTCTTAGCTATAAGATATGTATTTAAATAATAAACTTTGTCACTTCTTTAAAATGTTTTTTTACACTGAAGTTTACCGTTAGGCAAATGGATCCTTAACAAATTGAGCAGATAATTCGTACGCATTTTGCCGATCGTTCCATTTAATTTCGAATTGTACTAAATGAATATACATATATATATATATATATTGTATATATTGAATTCGTGTTTATTAAGTCGCTCTTAACATGCTTGGCAATGTTATATTTTTTCAGAATTTTCGTTGCAATGTTTGCTTATTGAATTACTCACTGGCAATTCCCCTGAAGACGGCGTTCGTGCTGGCGGACATCGTCCTCGTTTCCGCATCTCAACCTGGTTTCGTCGGAGCCATCGGCACACTCGGGGACTCCATTGCATCCCGCTGTCCCGATCACACATGCTCCATAGGTGCACTGGAAGTACGGCTTGGAGCAAAACTTCCGCTGGGAAATGCAAGTCAGCGCCGTCTCATCCGATCCATCGGGGCAGTTCCTCTCGCCATTGCAGACGTCGAACCGCGAAATGCAATTCCCATTGTCGCACTCAAACTCGGATAAGTTGCAATCCCCAAAAACTGAATAGAAACATCTATAAATTATTTGCTTTTACAAGTGGACAACTTTACATATATGATAAGAGTTGCACAAATTGAAAACATTAAAATCGCTGCACTCACTGATGATTCTTGCCTAACAACTGACTTTCAAAACAAGTTAACGAACTAGACTTTAAGTACAGAAACTTAGATAAGGTTTTCTAACTATGTAAACTGGATAATTAAAAATTTAAATATGTATAAGTTCTATTGAAATATAGAAAGCGATCTATAACATTATATATATAAATACATGAATTTAAAATAAATTACAAACCTCAAAGGTTTGCTTTCTTCTGAAAAGTTCACTTTTTTATTAACATTTATTCAAAATTATATACTCAGTCAACTGTAAAATCTACCGGCACGTTAGGTAAAAGCCCTTGTTTTTATTTTTGTTTATTTCCTCGTACACTCACTCCGGATTCAGAATCAGTGTGCTCTCTTGTTTATACTAAGCAAACTGAAAATCAGAGATAAACAAAGATGACTGATGGACTGATGGGAATGCAACGCGCGACTTCAAGATGAACCGGCTCGAATCTTGTTTGAAATCCACTCTCTGAGATCCGAGAGAAGCTCGGGCTTTGGTAAAAACCTTTTGTACTTGTTGGTGTGCTCAGCATACGTTCTCATATATGTACGGAAAATGTTTATTTTCGTCCGACTTATATTATCATTTTGAACTTTACTCACTCGTTCTGAGCCTCAATGAGACCACGCAGAGGAACAGGAGGTTTGATAAAAACGTTTTAAATCGCATGTTCACTGGGTTAAACTTAATGTTTCTTAGGCACCATTAATGCACTGGAGAGCACAAGACACTCACATAAGTACTCAGTATTAAATTAAGTGCGTACTGATAAATTTCAAGGGGGAAGCACGTGCCGCCGGGCTTAGAACAACTCAGAGCGAGCTCACAAAGGGAACTGATCCGAGGAATATTCAAGCTTGATCTTATAATAACAATCGCCAAACACGTTTTAAGAGCACCTGATCCACAACAAATGTATGGCGAAGAGTCTAATGCCTCCGGCTTCACAGTTGTGAGCAAGTGAATAGTCAGAGTAACTACATAAGTTAATATAATCTAAAATGTTTTTACAAGTTTTAAGTTTTTAAGATTGTTTTGTTAACTTATGTTTGATAAACGACAATTTTGTTGTTTAAACAAAAATTGTGGTAAATATTTAAGAAATACTGAGCAAAGTCTTTTTAGATTAAATTTTATTTTGAATGTCTTTATTATGTCTAAATAGAATAGATTTAAAATTATTATAATCATGTTTTGTGACAAAATTCAAAAATTTGGCGCCAAATGGTTGTAGTCTTTGCTAAGTTTAAACGTGTGGTTAAGAACCTAGGAAGATCATTGCAGAACTTATGTTTACAGCATGTAAATGTAAGCATACATGTATAAAAACAAAACAATCAACCATTTGACTTGTAAGTTGCGGTCTTTTCGCCAAATAGGGATTCGATTCGAGATTCACAACCTAATATTTGTTCTTAACACTTATAAGAACATTTTTACTGGAAGGGCGGGCACCAAAACCAAAACAGGAACTAGTCTTTCGAACCAGCGGTCGGAACCAAAGCTAGCATGGACGAGTTTGGTCCGTTATACAACACTATTTTGGCGCCAAATTTAAAAAATATTTCCTCATCCCCCGCTCATTGAGTTTGTGCATGATATTGACGAACTCCGCTTTGAAGACCTTTTTTAACTTCTGCTGAACATTGAGTTGCAATGAATCACATACCTATTTTTCTGCAAATTCACAAATTCAAAAGTTTTTCCTCGTAGCTTAAAACCCCGTAATCCACTTGCCAACAAAAATCCAAAGGCCATTCATAAATTGTTTAAATCGTTTCGTTTAATTTATTTGTTTCATTTTCCACATTCTCACTGGTTGCTGTTTTGTTTTGTGTTTTGTTCCTTTTACGTATAGTTTATATTGATAATTTACAACTTACGGAGCTAACATAGAATGGCTTTAAATTAGAGTTACATAGATTAAGTATAAACGGAGCTTGCGGGTCCAATCGTTGATCGCGGGTAGGGGAAAGTACGTACGAGTAGAAAATGTAGCTGCAAAGTATCTGTAGGTCTGATCTGATGGAAATACGTAGTTAGGAAAGTAATAATCTCGATCTGGATAGACAGCTCGCTCGTCGGAGAGTTTTAACTTGAAAGTAAAAGCCACTAGCAATGTACACGTATGTAGCGATAATTATTACTACGAATGCACTGGTATTACGTAAGTAAGTAGTAGGTAAGTGGTAGGATGCAGTACTATATGCAAGACTCCTCCTCTTCCGATTCGGACTCTATTTACGTATATCTGTTGCTACGATAATCCACATTTAAATCTTTAAGTATTGTATTTTAGCGTCTATTCTTGGTTTGCGGTGGCGGGGAGTTCCCCGAATCGATCCATCGATACCCTCCTTCACCACTTACGCGTCCCCGTTTCGTTCAGTGTATGTATACAGTATACAGTAACGTATTTCGGTTCGCAATTGCGTTAGCATCTGCCGTTGCGTTTAAAATCTATAACATTTAACTTATTCTTATTTACGTATTTGCATCTGCCTCCGTTCCGCAGATAAATTACTCTCTTATTGTTCGTCCATCCATACTCGATCTCCATACATAAATACATAAATATATATCAAGATTTATATATATAAATATGTATATCTATAATCGAATCTTAGGCTCTAGTTACGTATACATTTTGTGCAGGGCATCGTTCCGGATGGCCCCCAACTGGGATAAGTTCGGAAACTCAACTGAAGGATGAAGGACACACAACGCCTTGTGGCTTGAATCGAGCACAGCTCGTTTGGATCCACTAAACTATATATGGTATCGTTATCGCTATCGGTATCGGTATCGGTATCGTATTCGTTATTTGTTATCGGTATGGGTATACGTATCTCTATAGAGCGTACAACTTACGATCAATTAACGGAACGAGATCAAAAGCAATTTCGCATGCAAGCGGGCAACCCACGAACTCTCAAACAACTCAGGCTCTAATTACACTGGGAGAAAACAGAAACGCAAAATCGCAATGGCAGAACTAAAATAATAATAACACAACATCGAATTCGTTTTCTCATTGTTTTTTTTTCAGATTTTTTCAAAACCAATAATTTATTTGCGTTTGCCGGGGCAAACGGTTTGTCGCACTTCTCATCTCCAATCGCCACTTCTGTCGGATAATCTCATAAACGCTTGTCATTAAACTAAACATAATAATAATAAAATTAGGCATTAATTTAATTTAAAAGGTAAACATACTACACATTACTTAAAGAAACAGCTTCACTCTAGTCGTTTGGGCGAGAACTAAACAAATTCGTTTACAAATAAACAGAGTTAACTAAAATTGCATTATTTTATTTAATAAGCACAAACTATACACATTCAAATATTCGATCCTCCCAAAAACGTTTTTTTTTTTCCTTGTTTTCGTTTCGTAATATGTTTACTTGGCTAACAAATTCTATTTATATTAAAGTTAAAGTTTAATAGTTTTCTTTTGTTTTTCGTTTCCTTTGTTACGTATCTTAAATTGGTTTAGAACTGGATTTTACCAAAAATTCATATCAACAGAATTTTGCTCGCGCTCAACATCATCGTATTGGTATAGGTTTCTTTTTTTTCATTTAATTTTTGAGTATTTTCCGCGAAAATTAATTTAAACATAGCAGTAAGCAACAAAGGGGGCAGGACAGAGGTTTTAATTTCGAGGGATCATTCTACGTGTGGTAAACATAAACATAAACATAAACCTTACGCTTGCGAATCTTGAAATTTCTTTTTTCGTTTTGAACTAAATTAAATTGTTTGTTTTCCTTGTTTACGTCTAAGTAGGTTTATAATCTGCGCTCTTTCCACTACTTTCATTTACTTAGCCTAGTTAATTAGTTTGTAGTTTTGTTTCATTTACGTATTTTCGGTTGCTGGTTCAAACGCTTGAAATAATTCCATTAGGTTCGATTTAGGTTAAGTTTCGTATTCGCACAAGTACCATCAAAATATTTAAATATTATTCATTTAAGTAAATAGTTCATTTGTTACAATATAGTTGCTTTGTATCTGTCTCTGCGCCATTCCGCCTAGTTTTCCGATCCGAAGGACCCGAAGGATCTGAGGGATCCCAGGGTTTCGTGGGTCTACTGGTCCAAGTGGCCACCTTGGACCGCCGCCGCCGCAGCCGCTGCCGCCGCCGCCTTTTGGGCCTGCGCCTGCTTCTCCTGCTCGTTCAGCTCCTTGATTGCCTGGATCTCCTTCTTCAGCTTCATCCGCCGGTTCTGGAACCAGATCTTGATCTGCCGCTCCGTCAAACAGAGCGCGTGCGCCATTTCGATTCTCCGTCTGCGGGTCAGATAGTGATTCGTGTGGAACTCCTTCTCCAGCTCGAGCGTCTGGTAGCGGGTGTACGTCTGTCGGCCACGTCTTCGCAGACCATTTGTACCTGAAGGATAAAGGAGGGAAAGTTTGGTTAATAATCAAATTTAGATATTTTGAAGGGTATTTTTCCCATTTGAATTAGACCGGATATTACCACTACTTATCATAAAAGTAGCAAACAGTTTAAATTTATATTTAGCAAGTAATATCCGGTCTTAAAGGTTTGGAATAAAATAAACCGAAAAGCATTGACAAAGGTTTGAGTAATTATTTTTTATTAAATGATAAACAACTGAAAAAAGATCCTGTTTATATTTTTTATCTCACAACATGACTAAATATTAATACAATTTAAATTATTGCAACTGAATTATTGGTTGTGTATAAAACGCGTTTCTTCTGTCTTTTGGAAATGTTAAAATTAATTATAAAATGCATTTTAAGCTCCATGTCTTAGCATTTAACATTGTGTTGACTCTTGATTGGTTTATAACATGTTCATTTAATCCCACATTTTCCTGCACAGATAATTGACAAAGAGTTTGGGTATTTATATTTGGCCTTTCAGCGGGCAAATTAAATTGAAAAATTGCAACAAGCTGCTCAACATTTGTTTGCTGTTCGCCGTGGTTTGGCCAAGTCGTAAATATAAATTCTCCTCCTTGGCAGCGATCGTCAAGCGGTTTGAACGTAGGCCGGAATTGCTTTTGGAAGCGGCGAGGAAAAGTGAGGAAAACGGGAAGGAGATCTCCGGAGCAACGGCAGCAGAAAAAATACATTTCATTTTTACGAGTACCGCCATTTGCCAGTTTGCAGTTAGCAGTTAGCAGTTTGTGGTTTTTGTTTTTGTGTGTTTCTGTTTCTGTTTTTGCGGCGGGATCGTTACTTTAAATTGATCGTTTGCCGCTGCAACCGGCGATGTTGCAGAGAGGCTGTCATTGCAACCAGAGCCACATTAAAATGAAAAGGAGAAACGTGCGAGCACTTCGGCAACTGGGGAGATGGCGAATGTTGCTACTTAAATTGCAGTTATGCCAGATAATGCCCGTTTAATTGGCAACCTGAGAGTCGAGATTGGGGCCAGAGGGGCAGGTTGAAGGGGCAGGTTGGAAAGGCAGTCGCATCAACAGGGCAGCACAATGCCGTGTTTAATCTCTGATTTTAAATATTTATGAAGTTTAATTTGCCTTCCAGTGCAATAACTCAATTCAGTGTGTGCAAATGCACTGCTGCAGCTGTCTCTCGGCCATCGAAGAAGTACTATATAGTATGGCAGAGTCCATGGCCAGACGACGTCTGATTTTATCGAATCCCCTGGCCCACCGCCTCCCCATCCAGGTTAACTTTCGCATTTTGGAGACCCGGTCCTTCTCTCTCGGCCGCCCGAACACAATGTTAACTTAAATATTATGAGCATTTATTATGTTATAAATTTGGCCTAAAGGTATTAACAAATTTATGCCGACACGAAAGTCATAAAGTGAAAACGCATTTATCTTTTACTCACACAGATACACACACACA